TTTGTTTGCTTGCTTTTTCGTTTGTTCGTATGATTGTTCGTTCGTTCATTCATACGATTGCTTGTTCGTTATATGTATATATGTATTAGAAAACATGTTTGGCATTCAGGCGAACAATTATAAGCGCGAACAACTGTTCATACATACATATATTCACAAACATACAAACACACAAAAAAACGCACGAACGAACATACAAACAAAAAACACACATAAGAACGAACAAACACACATACGAACGAACAAACGGACGAACATTAAATTTATCACATGCTATATAAATAAATAATTGCATTTAGCGTTGCATTTGCATTATTCGCATTGCATAAAAGTAGGCAAAAATAGATTTTATATACACAAACAAAAACATCAGAATATGGGTGGGTATGTAGATAAATACAAACAAACACACACACATACACACACATACACACGCACTCATACACACACTCACATATGCACACATATATATATACAAACACACAAACAAACAAACAAAATACTCAGTAAGAAGATGAAGATATGTTTATCGATATGTATATACGTATATACATGTAAATGCTGGAAGGAGACCATATTTTATACAGAATTGTATGGATTATACAGAAAGAAAATTGAAAAGAGGAACTTTAAATTAATTAATGCCAGAAATTCTGTAGAATTCGTATATACATATATGTATGTTTGTTTGTGACTTGTATGTTTGTCTGTATGAGAAAAACAAATTTGAGTACAATTGTATATGTGTGTAGGTTTGCATGTACATATGTATGTTTGTATACACGAACCATACGAACATTAATGTTTTCAGCAGCAACAGAGCAAAGATGTTGCAACCTGAGTGTACGAATGTCTATGTATATATGCATGCATGTTTGTATGTGTATATATATAAATACATACATATATAAATATATATATATATAGTATAAATTCAAATTTGATCATCATCAAATTGGCCATCGTTTAGAACGCTGAGCCTGATCATTGAAGATAGAAATTGAATAAAATTGGAAATATAAATTTAAAACCATTTCCTTTCTAGGCGTTTATATGCTTTCCTAGTATATAATATAAAAAGAATTTCAATTATATGTATGTAAACACACACACACACCACACACACACACAAAAATGGATTACACACCACTAAATTCCGTTAAAAATACAGCCGAAATACTAATCATATACCAAAATATTTCTTGAAAGTTTCTCCGAAAGACAAACTTATTACCGAAACTCATCGTGAATCCAATTATAACCAAGAAAATCTTATCTGAAAATACAAATTAAACCTAAAAATACCTAAAAGAACACATTTAAATTACTAATTAAACTCAACATTACTTTCAAATTAAATAGAAATGCCAATTATATCTAAAGAGTATTTGAAAGCAGGTTGAGATTACCAATAAGAGGTCTAAGGTTTCCTTTTAAGAATACGCCTAAAACACTTATAGGCCCAAAAATAGCTGGAAAATACTTTAGAAATATTAGTTGATTCAAGAATATACTGTGAAAATACGTTCAAAAAACTAGTCGTGCCCAAAAATTCATGAAAACACTCCTAAAATACCCCTTATATCTCGAAAAAAAAACTGAAGTTATGTCATAAATATCAATTATATACTCAAAATATGTTGAAAATACAAAGTAAACGCGTAAACCACCAGCAATTCTTAAGCTAGAAATAGAATCTGCATCGAAAGTATTTTAAGTATATGCTTTTAAGTGTTTCTGGCTTGAGAAACAAAGCTTAACTGACTTTACATGAATGATTTCTTTTACCCATTTGAAATAGGTATTCGTATTTGCTCGTTCATTTTTGAAATAAATAAGCTTTATTATGAAATAATAATTTTATCAATTCATAATTTCATGTCATATTTATTTCATTAATTCATTTTTTTAGCAAGATAAATAAATAAAATTTCTGTTTTTGTCACTCTGTACATCCATTTTATTACTTTCTTGAAACATGGAATGATAATAATAATAATAAACCACAGTAATAATAATAAACCACAGTAACAATAATAATTAACCACATTTAACAACAATAATAACCAAAAATTAGCTAAAAACCATATTTGACTGAAACATGATGAAATAAAATTAGCTATTCAATTGTGACCTAAAAATATTAAAAGTATATATAAATTATATAAATTAAATAATCGATTGATTGAATGATCGGTTAGTAAAGAACATTCTTTCTTTCTTCTTTTCTTCTTTCTCTCTCTTCTCTATCTCTCTCTCTCCCTCTCTCTCTCTCTCTCTTCTCTTTCTCTCTTTCTTGTTTTTTTTTGCAGTTTGATTCTTTAGTATAGTCTCTTTTCATACCTGTAAAAAAATCAAACATACCGATAAAGGTTAAAAAAGTTAAAAGTTCATTAGAATCTTCTAAAATTCAGAGGTATCGACTCTTTATCAATCAGTCAACCAATCAATCAATCAACCGACCGACCAATCAAACAACTCTTTATCAATCAGTCAACCAACCAATCAATCAACCAATCAATCAAACGTACGAGTGTAATCCATGGACTCCTCCTTCAATTTGTGATGACGTCGTTCGCTTTTCAAACTTCAATTCACCCTGATACATCATGGACCTGATGACGATGACGTAATTGTTTTTGGCGATGATGATGTGGGTGATGATGATGGAGATGACGAACACGCGCACACACGCACACACATCCACAAACTCGCCTAAGACAGGACAGACTCTTGGCTCCGAGATCCTGGCATCCGTGTTGAACCCCGGATATGAGGTAGGGAAGGAATTTATGGATGGATCCTTTGTCAACCACAGCTCCTGAGACTCCCTGAGCCACTTTCACTTTATCTGAGTCGCTGCAGTTTTGTTTTGGACGTTTGTGATGCTTTCGCTGTCGGCAGAACTGCCACACACACACACACACGCACACGCACACAAACAAACACAGACGCTCACACAGACACACCACCAAACAGCCTACCTAAAATATCTAGACTGGCTAGCTTTATGCTGCTCCATGGCATCCAGCGATCCCATCCCACGGTATTTTTTCAGGCGAACTCCGTCAGCAAAGTAATATTCTCCAGGCGCCTCTGTCGTGCCGGCAAGGAGCGAGCCCATCATGACGGTACTTGCACCCAGGGCAAGGGCTTTTACGATGTGGCCCACGTTCTCTATGCCCCCGTCTGCGATGATGGGCACGCCGAATCTTCGCGCGTACTCGGCGACTTTGTAGACGGCTGTTCCTTGAGGGCGGCCGACCGCCATCACTGTTGTGTGGTCGCGTCAACATCCTCATCGTCACAATCATCATCACCACTGTTACGATCATCATCATCATTCAGACCATCACAACCATCGTCACGACCATTCTCACCTTCTTGAGTGATGCAGATGGACCCACTACCCATTCCGACCCTCAGAGCATCGACACCAGCGTCGATCAGATTCTTAGCCTGGGCCGCTGTCACCACTAAGAATAAATTATGCAAACTAGTGTGGAATTATTATAATTAGGTCTTGCTAATATATGTATTGATTACGATATCTACATCATAATGTGCACTACCTACGAATAAATTATGCAAATTAGTATAAGATCATGATATTAAAATTCCTTAAAAGGCATTGGTTGTGATAACTAGATCCCCATACATGCAGTTATTATGATAATTAGGTCCTAAGACACCTAGAGTATAGAGACTAGGCCCCAATACATGAATAAATTATGATAATTAGGTACTGACCGTTCCCGCCGATGACTTGAAGGTTGGGGTATTTTTCTTTGATGTATTTTATCAATTTTATCTGGTAGATCGAGTTGCCCTGTGACGAGTCCTGCGATTATTATTATTGTCATTATTATTATCATCATTAATATTATTATTACTATTATTAACATTATTATTATCATTATTATTGTTGTTTTTACGACAGAGCAAAAATAAAAACAACAACAACAACAATAATAATAATAATAACAAGAGCCAAAACACCGTAATTACCAAGACGACGAAATCGACTCCAGCCTGGACCAGCAGATCCAATCTCTGTACATCTTCATCGTGCGTGCCTATGGCAGCCCCTACAACCAACTGTTTCCTGGTGTAATGGTGATGATGATGTCGGTGGAGTGGTGATGATGATGTCGGTGGAGTGGTGATGATGATGTCGGTGGAGTGGTGATGACGACGACGATGATGATGGTGGTGATTAATTTTTATGATGAAGACGTTGCACTGATAATGGTGATGGAGGTAAAATGATAAGAGTGATTGATGTGGGTGCTATTAATACTAATCGTCTATGAGTCGTCAAAAGCCTTATCATCATCATCACTAAATCCATTCTAATCACCACCATTACCATCATCATCATCATATTCATCATCATCATCATATTCATCAGCTTCATCATCGTCACCAGCTTCATCATCGTCACCAGCTTCATCATCGTCACCAGCTTCATCATCGTCACCAGCTTCATCACCGTCATCACCAACGTCTCGTCTTTGGATGCCAATGGGAATTCTCGATTCTTCTTCAGATCAGTCCTGGCTATTATGGCTACTAATTCGCCTTGCTCGTTTACTATAGGTAGCTTTCCTGACAGATGGATTGAATGCGAAAAGTTATAAAGAAATGGATGAATGAGTTACTGAAAAAGAAAGAGAAAGAAGAATGAAATGAATGAATGAAAGAAAGATAGAGAAAGATGGTATGAAACAGTGAATGGATAAATAAGTGGGAGAAAGAAGGAAGAATTGAATGAACGAGTGAAGAAGACCACTCTCAATCACGAGAATCACCTTTTTTGCTCTTCTGCAGAATATGGTTAGCCTCCTTCAGCGTGACGCCATGAGGAGCCACGATCAGGTCCTCCAACTTCGTCATCACCTTGCCAAACGACCAAAAAATATCATTATATTTAAACGTACGACTCAACGATTCAAACGCAAACTGAACCCGATCCAATTTGAAAAAATTGAAACACAAAAACCAACAAATCGCGCCGCTGTGAGTCCACTTGAAACTTATCACTAAGTGATAGGTAGGGCTATTTGCAGTCGAACACAGTCACTTCTGCAGCAGCAGAAGCAGCAGGGAAAGCAGCAGCAGCCACAGCAGGGCCAGGCGCCGCAATCACTGCCGGCCACACCGTAATGACAATATACGAGTTAATTGAATTATAAATTAAATTAATTTCAATTAAATATAAATGAAACAAAATGGAAAATCAAAAGTGAGGAGGAAGCCAATCAACGAATAAAAAAAGAAAAATTGTAAATAAAATCTTCGAGAAAATTTTTTGTAGAATCAAATTTTAGGATCTTTTTCACTTTTAATGATGTAAATTAAAGAAACAAAGATTAATAAACCATTTTTAAAATATTGAAACCAAGAAATAAAGAAAAAAAAACATTGTTAAACAAGCTACATTAAACTAAACTTAATTGATTTCTTAATGTTGTTTATATTTTAGTTTAAAAACTTAAACTTGAGAGAGAGGAGAGAGAGAGAGAGAGAGAGGAAAATAGCAGATAGATAAATAGATTGGCAGATGGAGAGAGATAAACAGATATATTAAGAAGTAAGAATGAAAATACATTACAGCATGAATAAGTTAGTGAACAGGTGAACAAAAGAAAGAAATGAAGAATGAATGAATGAACGAATGAAACAGAATGAATGAGTGGATTAACAAATAAACTATATAAATGACACAATAACAAGACTGAACTCAGAGTGAAATAAAATTCAACAATGAATCTGAAAATGATAAATTTTATACAATTTATGAATGAATGAATGAATGAATGAATGAAACAAATTTTATACAAATTTTATACAATTTATGAATGAATGAATGAATGAATGAATGAATGAATGAATGAATGAATGAATAAATTGAATAAATGAGCGAAAGAATGAACTGGCAGAAAAATGAAAAAAAAGAGTGAAAAACAAATGAACAAAAGTGAATGAACGGGTCAATGAATCAATCAAACAAAAAGCGAACATTGTAACAAACAAAAGAGTGAGTGAATAAATTAACAGAAAGAATGAATTAAAAACGAACTAATAGACAAATGAACTGATGAACAAAGAAACTTACAACACAAAGACAAAAAAACAATGAAATAAATCACGTTATTAAAATTAGACTTCGATAGAAAAGTGAAAATAAATGGATAAAAAACTAGGGTAATAAAAATTGAGCCGCAATTCTACCGATACACAAACACACATACACAAACACACACACGTACACACACAGACATACACACACACACACACACGTACACACACAGGCAAACAAAGTATTAGCAATTATATCATCTAAGACATAAGGAGCGTCGGGTTACAATTAATAAAAAAGGACTTAAAAAGTGATTGAAAGACTCCTAACGAGAGAAAGAGAGTGAGAGAGAAAGAGAGAGAGAGGGGGAGAGAGAGAATTAAATTTTTGAATATCCTTAAATGAAAATTTGAAGCACAAAGGACAGGCAAGAAATGAAATGAAAGGTTAATTAAATTTAAAGGTGTAGCAAGCAGAATGAACAAATGAACAGATTAATGAATGAACAAAAAAAATGAATAAATGAATCGGTAAAAAATGAATCATCACCCATCGTCATCCAAATCACCACAAAATCATCACCATCACAACAACCACCCCAATATCATCATCATCATCAGCGTCACCACAAAAACCACCACCACCACAAAATGATCATCATCATCATCACCTCCTTCAACATCATATGATGTTGCTCCGCGGACAAAAAATCCACATCTCTTTGAGTGACCAGGCCCATTAACTTCCCGCCAATCAGACCGTCCGTCGTTATGGGAATCCCAGAGAATCCAAATTTAGATTTTGCGTCGATGATGTCACTGACTCGATGCGTTGGCGAGAGAATGACCGGATCTAGGATGAAGCCTTGTTTATATTTCTATGGTGTTGTGGTGGTGATTGTTTTTTCATCTATGCTATGGCGTCATGCTGTATGGTGATTATATTTCTATGGTGCGTTTATGTTTCTATGGAGTGACGTGATGTGGTGTCTTTGTTTCTATTGAGTTGTTAATGAAGTTCATATTTATATGCTCTGGTGATGATGCTGGTAATGATGTCGAAGATTGAAAATTGAAAATTACAGTTCTTTGGGCAGTTGGGCAATGATGAATACGACGAAGCTGTGAATGAATTCGAAGATGGTGATGATGATGACGACGATGTCTATTCATTTGGAGATATTGATGAAGAGGATGATGGCGAGAGGATATAACTTGGAGATATTGATGAGAAGAAAGGGGATGGTGGTGATAAACTCGGAGAGATACTGTACCATGATAAACATTTCCTTGAAGCGCCATCATTGAGATACATCCACTACAATAATAATTTTTCTTCTTGTCCTCTTGCTGTCCTTCTTTACTGTTTCTTTTTCTTTCAATCAATCACCTCATAGTGGTATCAAATGGATCGCTCCAATACTGATATAGGCATGATACATAGGCGCGCATACACATACGCACGCAAACACACACACACACGCATAGATATACATACATTCGTACACACAAACACACACACATATATATAAATATACTGATACAAAATAAAAATAAATTAAAAATAAATAAAAAAAATAATAACAGACCAAATCAGATAATAAGAAATTGAAATAAAGTAATCACGACAGCGATGGTGATGATGGTGGTGATGGTGGTGATGAAATGACTGAAATATAACAACTTAATGGCAACAAATCATCATTTCAACTCATTAAACAACGGAAAAAAGGAAAAAAGAGGAAAAAAATGATGAAGAGGAAAAAAATATCTCAACTCAGCAAAAATTTTTCAACCCGATGAAATCCAGGTGAAAATGAACGCATTTTAATAAAAAAAAAATATAAAAAAAAAACAAAAAATATAAGAAGAACCAAGTAAAAAACATAATAAGAACAAAGAATTGAAAAAGAACCAAGTTAAAAATGAAAAAAAAGTGAATAATAGTAATGAGAAAAACAAAAATAACAAGTAACAAAAATTAATTAGACGTATAGAAATGACGTTCCATACTTTCATACCTATGCTTACGAGTACACACTAATTAAGCGCAATTTTCAAACCCCAGATATGTAAAAAGATTATTTATTTAAATAAAATTTGGTTTTTAACAATTTTTTTCATTTACGTTTGCAGTACATTTTCAGACCCCAAACGTCAGAGAAAAAATTGGCTCTCCTCACTTTGATATCTATGCATAGAGTACAGGTGCATAGACAGAAAAAACAAGCGCGAATAAAATAATCCGGAAATTAGGTAAAATGTGGGAAGAAGGAAAAGAAGCTACGACACCGACCTCACAAATTGGCAAATCTCTTTCCTCTTTACTCAAAAAATCGACATCTCTTTGCGTCACTAATCCTATCAGTCGACCGCCCATCTTTCCAGTTTCCGTGATAGGAATTCCGGAAAATCCGTATTTTCGTTTGGCGTCAATAACCATAAAGACGGGATCGAGTTGGGACATAACTAAGGGGTCCACTATGAATCCTTGTTCGTATTTCTATGTGGTTTGTTGATGACGTCACCGTTGTTGTTGGCGGTGGTGGGCGTGTGGCGTTGTTGTGATGATGGTGATTGTGATAGTGATTGTGACGACGATGATGAAGATGGCGATGATGATAGTGATGAACATTAGAATATTGACGATGACTCACTTTGACTTTTTTAACTTCATTAGCTTGGAACTCAGGTGTGCAGTTGTGATGAATGACACCGACACCTCCACACAGCTGTTGATTGATGGATGGATTGATTGTTCAGTTGAATGAATGAATGGGGGATTGATGGAATAATTGATTGATTGAATGCTGAATGATTAACTGACTGAATGAATGACTGATTAGTTGAACGACTAAATGAATGATTAATCGATTTATGTAAATAAATGTTCATTTGTTAAATGGTTGATGAACCAATTAATTAACCCAATGAATGAATATATGAATGAATGATTGATTTGAAATCAATAAAAAAGCATAAACTATCATCTAAAATAAAAAAAAACACAAACAAAAATCACAAACAATTATTTAAAATAAACAAAATCATAAAACCATAACCAAAATCATAAATAAAGATTATTATCCAAAATAGACGACATGGAAAACGCCCAACTCACAGCCATAGCGATTGCCATCTGACTCTCCGTAACTGTGTCCATTGGCGATGATATCAGAGGTGTCTTTATCATAATTTTTTTGGTCAGTGCAGACATCAGACACTATAATTATAAATAATTATTATAAATAATAATTACAAATAATAATTACAAATAATAATTATATCGTATTTGGTCAGTGCCCTAACACCAAACAAACACTAATTATAAATGGTGTATATTATTATTATTATTATATTATGATTTATGTAGCACTTAACTTACCACATCTTTTGCTTGAAAGTCAATGAAGCCTGGTAGCAGTAGGAAGTCACTAGGAAAAAAAAATTTTTTTTCTATATATAATTTCTATATTCAAATATTTAATTATAATTAGCAATTTATTACTTTTAAATAAAATTATACCTAAGATTTTGCAAATAAATAATTATTTTAGAGTATTTTTATTAAAAAGATTTATTATGTTTGACTGGCAATAAAAAATCTTAACTGAAGACATTTTAGTCTATATTTATTTGGATGGTTGGGAAATAATCCTTCTACTTAAATAACTGAAGACCAATCATCTTTTGGGGCTAGTAAACTGAAGACCAATCATCTTTGAGGGCTACTGAATTGAGAATCAGTAATCTTTGATCTTCGGTGGATAACGGTGCTAAAACGCCATTAAACGATCAAACAATCAATTAACTAACCCATCATCTTTACAAAGTAGTTGTATAACTAACCAAATATAGGACAAATCATCTATAGTTCTATAGGGGTAATTGTAGAAGCTAAATACTTAAATAGGGACCAACCATCCAAAATAGAGAACAAATAAATATCATATTTAATGTTTTTTCATCTAAAATAAAGTTTTTTAGACAAAAAAAAGTTGAAAAATAAAATTTCTAAGAAGAAAATATTTTAAATATTTTCTTAAAAAAAACCAGGTTACTTATATGTAAGTCCCTCGCCAGAATTGAAAAGTTGAGTTCCGGACAATCCGTCATCTGGTGTATAAGCAGCTCCGCCAGCGATTAAAAAGTCAGCCATGCTGTACATTTGAATAAAAAATCACAAAAAATTTTTTAAAATAAAAATTGTAAAATATGAAATCGAATCTTATCGAGACATTAACTCCTCAAAATGTTATAAATGATTATTTCTGAAATAATATTTAGAAAAGCAAAAAATGAACAAAAGAATTCGCCATGCTGCTTCTATCTATTCCATTGTATTGTGTGATATGTGACAAAAAATTTAACCTAGATCACATCATAAAACGATTTAGGCCAATAAACTTTCAAAAAAATTTTAAAATAAAAATTAAAAAATGCAAACAAATTTCAAAATAAAAAAAAATATTACTTTAAAACTGGAAAAAAACAATTACAAAATATTTCTGCAGAAACAACGAGCGGGCGATATTAACAGCACGTTTAAATGGGAATTTTTTTAACAAAGATAAAATAACAAATAAAGGTAACTGCGAAAACACAGAATAAATTTACTTGATCAAACATCAACAAAAAACGCAAATGAAACATCAAAAATCTCATTTAAGACACTCAAATCTCAACGTTTCATTTCATTTATCACCAAATTTTTGATAAAAAAAAACTAGAAAAACCTCATCTCATTATAATTGCTTCGAGGCATTCTTTAAATGTAGGAATCTGATGAATGTTAGCTTAAATACCAAGACAAACACGTGTATTCTGTATATATGTACTTATATACTAAACATACTTATATACTGTGTATATGTGTGATGAATGTTATATAATCATGAAAATATGCATATATATATATATATATATATATATATATATATATATATATATGTGTGTGTGTGTGTGTGTATATGTATGTATATATAATATATTTAAATATGTATAGGATTAGGGTATTCATTAATCTTCAATACCTCCTATCTGTATGTCCTTGTAGGAATTTGACTTAATAGACCATTTTAATGGCAATGTTTGTGTCATTAGCTTGCAGAAATGTTAGGTGAAATTTTAGTTCTCCGCTTTTTACCTTGGGGGTATTATAACCTGAATTATTAAAATTAACATATAAATTGAGATATATATAAATATATATATATATATATATATATATATATATATATATATATATATATATATGCGTACATTTAAATGAGTGTTAGTACTAATTATGAAAAAAGTAAGGCTACATTTTATTGGACCTTAACTTTGCTTTTTTATTTTTCAATAAATATACAAACATGTATACAAAGTATATGATACAAACATATAACAAAACAGATACACGATCATACATTAAAAAAAACATACAAATGTACAACGGTAGATGCAAACATATGGTTACAAAATACATAGAAGTATACGTACAAACCTATATACAAAACTATATACAAACTGATATATACAAATATACATAAAATGTTTTTAATACAGATCAATAAATAGATGCAACATAAGTAGAAAAAAATTTTTGTATTTGTGTGTAAATACTAACAATACACTAAAGATGTTTCGAATGCAGATACAAACATTAATTATTGTATAAATACAAATATTATACAAATAAATCACCAAGTAAAATACATACATAGTTATGTGTTGTTACATAAGATATACATATGCGTGTGTACGTGTGCCTGTGTATGTGTGCCTGCGTGTGTGTGCGTGTGTGTGTATGTACAAAAGTATACAAAAATATACAAACATAGGTATGAGAATACCAAGACGTATTTAACATAACAAGCGTCATTATCTTGAGTTCTAATTAAACTTTTATTTTTCATTATAGGTACATTAATTAGAATCCTCATCTCATCGCCATCATTGAAATCACCATGATGGTGAACATCATAATTTCAAACATCATCATCTCCAACACCATAACCGCCATCATCGTCATCGTCGTCATCATCGCCGTCATCTTTACATGTAACCATGCCAACGACGACAATGATGACATTGAATGAACAGGTGAATTGAACTTAATCAAGGTGTATATAGATATATATATATGTGTGTGTGTGTGTGTTTGTGTGTGTGTGTGTGTGTGTGTGTGTGTGTGTGTGTGTGTGTGTGTGTGTGTGGTGTGGTGTGTATATGTAGGAAGGGGACCATATTATATACAGTTTTGTATGAATTCTACCGAATTGTTGGCATTAATCGATTTAAAGTATGTCTTTTCAATTTTCCTTACTAGAATTTTCTGGAAATTGTCCAATTTATTGAAAATAGAATTATTATCCAAATTCATCGTGAAAATTTGTTAGAAATAACACCGTTATCATCCAAATGAACTTCGAGCCAATAAGAAGAGCGATGATGAACAGCGCGCAAATATAGCGCCTTACAAACAAACTACTGTGTGGGCTTTTTTCTAAAAAGCAAAAAAAAAGCAACTCTAAAAATGCTACTACAACAATCACTACTACTAATTTTTTTACTACGAACAAAACAACGAACGAACGAACGAACAAACGAACGAATGAATGAATGAATGAATGATAGACGTGGACAATTTAACAAGAGGAAAAGATACGGTAGATACGAACAATTCTTCCCAAAAACAATCCGGAATCTCAATGGTAGGCCAACCTCGCAGATCAAATTAGACGGTCACTTCGTTTAATTACTCAAAATTTTTGGTTTCGAAAGTTCAACGCCGAGTTTCAACAAAAAGACCGATAAACTCAAACACATGCCATCTACCATAAACGGATTAGACCTTAGGCTGGAAACTGCAGATTGTCGGCTGATTCATCCCACCGGAACCGGCTTTCAAATTTCGCACCTACGACAATCCTTTGACACAGATTGGGAGCAATCCGGACCGTTGAATCGGTGAGGGATTCAGTTAGGAGTACATTTCATTAAATTAGATGCATCGTTCTAAACGGTAGTTTTTAGCTATGTAACAATAGTTTTTAACACTGCCATAATAATAATAATAAAATGGCAATTATTATTATTATCGAGTTATTGTTGTTATTGATGATTTTGTTGTTGTTGTTGTTGTTTTTGTTGTTATAAATGATGTTATACAAATACAATGACACCAAGGCTATATTTTTATCTTTGGGTTGTCAGAATCTCTTGTATAAAAAGGTTAGAAGTAGCGAAGTCAGTAGCGAGGTATGAAGAGAAGTTGTAATGGTGATTCATGCTGCTACTTGGATTAGTTTAGCGTTTCTATTACTGTTGGCATTCAAATAAACGTTCAACAAAGTTTGCGTTTGAAGCAGTTGTGTTCATCTATCGGAAACCTTGAACCTACGGAATAAGGGTCTCACGTTTTACCAATAAGGAACACATAACGATTGTTGGAAGCTACAACACCAGCGTTGGAATATAGAGTAGAAATCTTTGAAGTTATAACATTGGTGCAGGTAGTGGCGAGTGTTAAAGATTACAACAATACAATTAAAATTAATTAAAATACAATTAAAATTAATTAAAATACAATTAAAATTAATTAAAATACCATTAAAATTGCATGTCTGCTTGTTAAATATACATAAAATGAACGCATATCTTGAAGAAACTCGTTTTTTGTTAGGATATGATGCACATTTTGCAATAAAAAAAACACCAATAAGTATACCAACCATTTCTCGCGTATATGTTGAGCCAGAAAAGATTAGTCCCGGTTTTGTCACTTGCTGCAATCATTGTCGCCTTCTCATCAGTGTTTCCTATTTCGGGAATCGATACGCCGAGTTCCCCACAGGACTTCCTACAATCTGAAAATGCTGAGGTTCCTATTAAAGTACAACAAAAAAATAAATCATTCAATCAATCAATGGTTTGATGTATCGATCAATGCACGGAGGGATGAATGATTGAACAAGTGAATGAATAAATAAACAAATGAATGAACGAACGAACGACTGAATGAATGAAAGATTAGTATAAAAATATTTATTAGAAAAATTACCCGGCAAAATTTGAAGACATAATCCAGAAATGCATTCATCGGCGCGGATCTCCCGTGAGTTGATACATGTAATTATGCAGAATCCTTGAATGATATGCAGAATCCTTGAATGATATGCAGAATCCTTGAATGATTGCATAAATGAATAAAAAATTAAATAAATAAATGAATGTATGAACGGATGAAAAATATTTTCAAACATACCAATGGTAGCAAGTTGCATGCTGTTTATCATTTATCATTTTCATGCTTAAATGTGAAAAATTTTCAGCTGAAAAATATTATTTTAAATAATTTCGATATTATTCTTTTCAACAAAAAAATATAATAATAATATTAACAACGATATTAATTATAGTAGCAAGGAAGAGATCAAATGCTTCGATAGCTTATAATTTTGGTGAACTGGCATCAAGTACATAGTTACGTAAAAGAATATTTTATACAAACACAATATTGTGTGTGTAACTGTGACACAGACACGCCACACACACACACACACACACACACACACACACACACAAATAAACACACCATATACATTTTCAAACACGCACAAACACATACAGTGACCCAAATATTTATTTATTCACCTTCAATCAATCAATCAATTAGCTTATAAAGCGCTATTTCCGCGATGTTCAACAGCGCTCCTCAATGAATTTTGCAAACAGATGGGTCTTGAGATCCGCTCTGAACTTCGCAAGTGATAGAGAAGTAGTCAGAGAAGGAGGTAGAGAGTTCCAGAGAAAAGGACCAGAAAAAGCAAAAGCAGATTTGGCGAAAGAGTGTTTAACACGAGTTAAGAAAAAGCGAGAAGAAGAAGACGATCGTAAACCGGGGCGTTTAGGTTCAATTAATATATCTGATAAGTACTTAGGAAATAATTTAGATTGAGACTTATACATGTACGTGCAAATTTTAAAAATAATTCTATATTTTATAGGTAGCCAGTGCAAGAGAACAAGATATGGAGATATATTAGAAAAGAAAGGGGCACGAGCAACTAGACGAGCAGCAGAGTTAAAAGCTTTACTTAAAGGATAGAGTATAGAGTCAGGAAGACCATAGTAGAGCGAGTTACAATAATCAATCCTAGATAAGACTAACGAAGTAACAAGAAGGAGAAGAGTAGGAACATCAAGAAAAGGCAAAAGTTTTTTATTCTACGTAGATAAAAGTAAGAGCTTCTAGCAATTTTAAATAAATTTATTTTAAATAAATACTTTAAGATATGCTTTAGTATATTTAATTGCTATCAATGTTACAATAGCTAGCTTCTCTTCATTCTTTCTATAATTACTATTATTAATTTTTTTATTTTCAACTTATTATAACTATTATTATTATTATGTTAAAAAAGATGTAATAATTTTACGAAATTCCAAGAAATGAATCAACATCGTTTCTGGATGTTTTCAAAAACTTTAGAGGAGTTAATCAATCTTCCAAAAACTCTTCCTCAGATGCTTCTTCAGAAGTTCTTCAAAGAAATTTAGCAATTGGCCTTTCTTTGCAGTAGCATCTCCACGGCATAACGTACTTCGACCATTTTTTGAAGCTGACATTGTCGATTGTTGGAAAAAAAATTTGAAGGAGCTAACGTATCTAATAAATATTGCAAAATATATCAAGCCCTACTACATCGATCAACCACGTTGTTTAATCTCTATCCTTGCTAAAGTTTTGTTACATAAATTATCAAAATTGCGCTCTACTTCTTATGAGAGTTAATATGTATGATTGCCTCATTCAGAAATTGCGAAGAAGTTGCTATTTAACTACAACACTTTTTTTATTCCAAAAATGACTCAATTGAATTAAAAAAAAAATTTTTTTAATTATTTTTTAATTGATTTAAAGGTTCTATCTATACTGTAATGAATGTTTATTTGTTCTGTAACAGACAAAAAGATGCCAAAAAAGATTTGTCAAGAAGGGGATACATATCCAAAACCTTCAAAACTACTTCAATCAATCAATCAATCAATTAGCTTATAAAGCGCTATTTCCGCGATGTTCAACAGCGCTCCTCAATGAATTTTGAAAACAGATGGGTCTTGAGATCCGCTCTAAACTTCGCAAGTGATGGAGAAATAGTTAGAGAAGTTATTTTTCATCAATTAAGTTTAGATTGTATAAATAAAACTGTTAATGTTTAAGGCTTTGAATACAACCTTACAAAAATGAATTTTTTTTTTTGCAAAAATTGTTCCTATCACTCTTTGTGTTCAGAAGCCTTAGTATGTTAAGTCAGAGTGTAATACACATGTTTGTCTTTATAGCATGCGTGTGCTTCTGCTACATGTGGAGGATAGTATAAATTGTTTTAATTGATTGTCGACCAAAAAATTTCGCTGGTTTACTTTGTGGTATTAGGTTTTTACGTGAAATCCAGTTAACGTCGGTAAGTCATGAGATGCTAAAAGTTGGTTGCATCATGTATGATTTAAATAGATTTTACTTTTACCCATTCAAATTCGCCATATTAAAAATGTCGTCCATTGTTATTTTTATGCGTTCATTAACGTACTTTTTTCGTTTGCGAAACGTTATTCGAATATAACGTCAAGCTTTTGATGCCGATTAGTTTTAAAATAAATTTTGCGTTTATGGTCTCGCCATATATGATTGAGTTATTTTTTTAATTTCATTTTTGAGTGGGTCCTTTTTCAACTACTCCTTGGTCCTCCTGGTCCTGCTTCTCTGGAATTTATTTATCAATCACTCTCGAAAAAGAAAAAATATGAATAGTTTGATGCAGTTGAGCATTGTTGCTCAGAGTTGCTTGGCAGACGATTATTTTGACTCTGATTCAACGTTTCATTCTCCCAAGTAGACTTAATTTTTATCTTTGTTTTAAAAATTTTATTTTCAAGTTAAATTTTACCAGGAATTTCTAGACTAGAAACTAATTATTTATTTATTAATAATATTTATGTAACAAAAGTATTGTGAAAAAAGCTAGATAAAACTTTACTTAGAAATTTAATTAAACTGTTTTCTTAACTAGATAAAACTTTACTTAGAAATTTAATTAAACTGTTTTCTTCTCAAAATAAAGGAAACAGGTGTTGGATACAATCAAATGTGAAAGGGCTGATTCAAATAATTTCTACTGTGGTTCTTATACCATGCTCCCATATCCAGTTGGTAGTTTATTTAAAGAATTAAACTGCTGTAATTTGTTCAACAGCTTTCAGAAAATAAATATTTACATGATTTTAGAAATACAAATTTTGTTTTTTTAGGATCATAGCTATGCCAAGCTTTCCCCACCTTGTAATTTTGTCAGATGTGAAGATAATTTGAGTCTGGATCTAGCAGACTGTAACATTTTGTGTCCAGTTGCTGTGGCCCCAACATTTCAACAAAATGTAAATACCAATAATGTAACATCTTCAAATGTTGTTTCTTCAACTAATTCAGAGAATTGTTGGGAGGGCAGTGTTACAAGATGCATTTGTGAGTTTGAACATGATGATGGCTACATGATATGCTGTGATAGATGCAGGTTTGTGGAGCTTTTTCATATCACTATTATTACACATCAATAATTCAATTTAAAACAACTTTATTTTATCAATTTCCATATAAAGCTAAAAACATACATTTATTTTCTCATACAAAAAAAGTGTGTGGCAACATGTAGATTGCATGGGAGTTGATAGACTGAACATACCAGACATTTATCTCTGTGAACTCTGTGAGCCAAGAGAGGTAGATAAACATTATGCCATCAGGTGTCAAGCCAGAAAAAGAGAATTATTACGTTAGTGGCTTTTATAATTTCAATCATATTTTTTTTCATTTATTTAAAACAAAGCCTAAGCTTGCTGTATGACCTGGATCAAATGAAGCATAATTGTAAAATGAAATAAAAAAAAAGTCAAGCATAAATCAAATTATATCATTCTAATTGTTTTATGTCTGTAGACCAAATATTTATAATGTTTGAATGGTATAGCAGATTCTGTGTCATTTGTGAATAAATTTACTATCTTTTTTAATTTACTTCAATTGTTATAAACAATTAGAATTTCATAAATTTTTATTGGGAACTTACTTGATTCATTCAATTATTAACTATATTTTTAATTTTATATTAATTCATATTTTATAATTTTTTTTATTTTTTTTGTCAAATTGACTCATGTTATATTTTTATTTTCAGTCAACTCTCTCCTTTTTTGTTGTTTGTCTACACATTTTTAAATTGGTTACATATGTAGTTTTTGTTTTTTTGTCTTGTCACAGACTATGTTGAATTTTTTAAGAGTCTGAATTATTCATTTTTACGATAATATTCTATTCATTCATTTATTTATCCTTTTATTCACCTAATGTTCTCTATTAATTTCCCTTTTTTGCATGTCAAGTTTTTTCTCTATCCATGAAAAATTTAAATTATTCAACAATAAATAATATTCTTATAAAAAAAATTTTCCACAGTATCTCAAAAATTGGACTCTAGTGACACAGACACAGAGGAAGATGTTAAGCCAAAAAAGATGATGATGAAAAAAAAGATGATGATGGTGAAGAAGAAGATGATGATGATGAAGAAGAAAAAGGAGAACAAGAGGAATCAGTCAGTTGATGCTGTGCTAGATCAGACTTTAAAATCTTCTCATCACAACAAGATGGCAGGCCAGGCTTTTCCCAATAAGGTTCTGCCACTTCTTTTAATTTCATTCATCTCTTTGATTAATACTCTTGATGGTTTTATTGTTATTTTAATCACTGGCTTCATCGTGATTTAGTTTTTTTTTATGGCTGTTATTTTTTTTCATTTCTATTTTCAATCTGTGTATAATTTAATCTTTTTCAATATTGATTATAATTTTTACTGTTGCTTTATAACCATAAATGTTACCCTTACCTTTCGTCACGTTTCTATTATTCTTATTTTTAACTGAACAATCACTATCAATCTTTTTTCTCATGGCTCAGAAGCAAAGAAGGTTGTCTGGCAAACAGCATCAACAGCAGCAGCATCACCACCAAGCTCCTACTTCACCACTTGCAAGAAGAATGATTTCACCAACAAAACAACACACATCACCGACATCGTGGTTGTCATCATCTTCAGCAGCCACTCCATCTGCAACAACGTCAGCAGCAGCTACTGCAGCAGCAACAACAGCTCTCAGAACCCAAGCTATAACATTCAAAATGATGGAATGCCCAAATGAATACAGTTCATTGTTCATTGAGAAGTACAATTCACTACTGGTTCCCGGCATCGTTTTTGATAGAGGATTTGACATGCTGGCCTATTCATCGTCATTTCCATCGTCATCCTCTATGTCACCATCTTCACTGCATCACCATGACAGCAGCAGCAACTGCAACAGTAGCTGTGGTAGTTCACTGGTAGCTGCTTCTATTTTGCAGATATCAGCTAATATTAAGGTAGTATGCAATCATTTTTTTTTTTTTAGCTTTATTTGCTTTGGGTTTTTTTGATGTTGAGTGTTGTGAAGTGTTGTTTGTTTGTTTGTGTTTCATTGTTTGTATGTTGTTTCTTGTGATGTTGTTTTGGTGTTATTATTTTTGATGTAGAAATATTTTTGAAAATGTGGATGATAATGTTTTAATGTTTTATTTTTGTTGTTTGTAAGGTTGTATGATTTGCTGTAATATTTTTGGTACAATGATTATTGCAATGTTTGAACATGGTGGTGACTATTGTATTTAAAATGATTGTGATCATAAATTTTACTGTAATTAGGCTGAAGGGTTAGAAGCCACAGTTGATATAGAATGTGGGCAGCCAATCATAGAATACAAAGGAAAAATTATGCTAAAAAATGAAGTCAACAATCAAACAAGGTCTCAAATTGTCTTTGTCTGTCTGTCTGTCTGCTTGTCTGTTTGTTTGTTTAATTGTTTGTCTGTCCTACTTCTGCTTGTGTTGTCTGTCTATGTTTGTACCTGTGTTTATGTCTGCAAGTCTTGGTCTGCCTATGTTTAATTTACACTAGTATTATTAATATGTTATTCACTATTGACATTCCTCAGAGGATTGCACTGTGATTAAATGCTTTTGTTGAACAAATAACTTTTTAACTCTCTTCTGAAATCTTTTCCTGGAACAATTTGCTTCAATCTTGACAAATTAATGTCTTTGTTTTTATAAAGAAAGACATAGCATGATGTAGATGAAACTTACGTTTATAGAATTGGTAATGATATGATGGTGATGTTAATAATTGTTAGATAGATAGATAGATAGATAGATAGATAGATAGATAGATAGATAGATAGATAGATAGATAGATAGATAGATAGATAGGTAGGTAGGTAGGTAGGTAGGTAGGTAGGTAGGTAGGTAGGTAGGTAGGTAGGTAGGTAGGTAGGTAGGTAGGTAGGTAGGTAGGTAGGTAGGTAGGTAAGTAGGTAGGTAAGTAGGTAGGTAGGTAGGTAGGTAGATAGATAGATTTATTTGTTTGTTTATCCACAAATTACAAAAAGGAAATAAAATTGTAGATTTATTAAAAAGAAAGAAATTGAAATTGTAGATTTACCAAAGATGAGATAAGGCTTGAAAGATTAAAATAATATTAGACTCAGAATTATAAACGATGATACGATAATGATGACGATGATGATGATCTTGCAATTAACAGTAGTTTATCCATGGTGGAGGTTATGAATTACGTCCTAAGGTATGTGTCATCATCAGCAACATCATCCCCGTCGTCATCAGCGTCTTTCCTGGACGTCTGCATCAACCCACATGTTTTTGACAATCACCTCATCAAGCTCATCAAGAGATCCACAAATCCTAATACAAAGGTCTGTGTTGTTGTTGTTGTTTTGATGATGTTGATGATGCGGTCGGTGACGTCACATTGATGTCATGTTGATATCTTATTCTGCTTTTTCATGTTGTTTATAGTTTAAAAATATTATTTTCTAGTTTACCTTCACATTTTCAGTCACCTCTTTTTTTTTGTAACACGCATATTCTATATGGCTATTACTCAACTGCATATTTTTATGATTAATTAAAGTTAAAAAAATAATTGTACAACTGGCACTTCACTGAAATGTTTGCAGCTGGTCCACTTTTTTGATGCTGACAACAAGTTGAGATTCGTCGTCTGTAGTTGCTGCAACATAACTCGAGGCACACAGATCACGTTGCCTCTAAACTTCAGCAACAGCAACAACATCAGTAGCAGGAATGACAACGTCATCAACAACATCAGCAACAACAACATGATCATTGCTAGCAACAACAACAACAACAACAGCAGCAGCAGTAACAGTAGAAGTGTCAACAGTTTTAAACAAAGGTCATTAAATGATTTTGTTTTTTATGATTGCTGTAATTGTTATCATCATTGTAACTGCTGTTGTTAATATCATCTCATTCATCCATACTGTACAATTATCATCATTGTTATTGTTGTTATATTCATTACTGAAAATGTGCATTCATTTATCCACAGGTCTGCCGTTAGGAGCTGCAGCAAGAATGATGACGTCGGCGATGAGGACGACGATGAGGAGGATGATGATGGAGGTGGTGGTGATGATGACGGTGATGACGGTGGTGGCGGTGGGAGAAAAAGAGATAATGATGAAAAGAGAGGGACTGATGATAGAAAGATGGAAGAAGTTGTGAGAAGGAGAAGGAGAAAAAGAAAGATGTCTTCTGCTATAAAGGTTTAAAAGCCATTGTTCCTCTTGATGTAATTGTGTGTTGCAATTGCAAGGTTTTTTTTTGTGTTGGTGCTGTTGTATATTGGTTCAGCAAACAAACACACACACGCACGCACACACAAACAAGCAAACATACATGAACATACGTGTTTGTTATATCTCGTTCATTAGTAATAAATTTTTTCTGGTAGGTTGAAGTAAAAGAGGCAAGTGGCAGATTACTAAACAGTGATGGTGTGGCTTCAGATAATGGCGGACATGTTGATAATTATGATAATAATTATAATTATTACTCCAGTAATAATTATAGTAGTAACAAAAATAGCGATGTAAAGATTGAGTGTAATAAACGTTTTAAAAAGCACGATGAAGATGATGCTAATGTGAAGGTCGAGTGTAAAGACAGCAATGATGATGAGGAGAGGGATAATGATGAAGATGCTGAAGATGATGATGACAAGAAAAATGATAGTGGTACCATCGATGTGCTAACATCATCTCCACCTCACTCATCACCTTCACCACAACAGTTCAAAAGTAATAAGCATTGTAAATCCCCATTCGAGCAGCAAAACAACAACCACAAGCTTTCACAAGAGCAACAACAACAACAGCAGCAGCAACAACAACAACAATTCCAACGACAAAGACGTACATCGAGGTCGAAATCATTAAAGGAAGTCGATAAGAGGAGAAAAAGTAGTGAGACGGACTCTTCATTTCATGACAACAGCATCATCAACAGCAGCAGCAGCAGCAAAAACACATCAAACGTAAGAAATACTACTACCACCACCAGTGACAACAGCAACAAAAAGATATTGAATGTTGTCAAGAGAAAAACAGTTTCATTGATTGAATCAGATTCACAGGCCCACAAAGCATCCCAATCGACATCATTATCGTCGCCGACGTCGTCGTCGTCGTCATCACTTCTTCAACAATCTGCTGACAAAAAACTGGTTTGTAATGCTTAGTTTGAATTGCTCACTTTTCAGCTTCTCTAAAAATTGGTATATTGTAAGTAAATCAACATAATGTGGTTGGTGGGCTAGCACATTGTTCTTATATGCTGGAGTTGTTTCTTTAAAATTGTATTACATTGTAACGACATTTATAACTCAACACAATGTCTGAAATTATTATTATTATTGCTATAATCATTATTTTCATTATTTATATTATATATTATATTATTATAATTATTATTTTCATGTATTTGAAGTCAAGAGAAGAGAAGAAGCTAGAGGCAATTATGAAGGCGTTCGAAAGGATCGACAGAAAGAACGAGAAGAAGGTGATGAAGGAAGAAAAGAAGAATAATATTAATAATAATAATAATATAAATAATAATATGAATAATATTAACAATAATGATCATGAGATGATGAGCAAACAACATAAGAAGCAGAGGATGAAAAATAAAAAGCCTGTCCCAACACTCAAAGGTTGTTGCTAAATCTCTAAATACCAAGTGCTGATTGTGGCGACGACGATGATGATGATGATGATGATGATGATTGTGACGACGATAATGATGATGATTGTGGTGGCCATGATGATGATGATGATGATCAGAAAATGATTATACCTTTAGGTTATTTAAAACCATTTTAGGTAAACACTTTTGAGTTCGTTATTTATTTAAAGATTTAACAAAATTTGAGAAAAAATTAGCTTTTGCAAGATAGAAAATAAAATAAAAACAGATAAACAGCTCAAGTGTGTGACAAAGAGGTCAACATCCTACCACCTTGCCGCGACTACGCTTACTACGACTGCTTGCAGTAGTACAACAACACCAGCTACAAATACAAATGTCACTGATAGCAACGTCTGTGATGATGATGATGGTGGTGATGAGGATGATGATGAAATCAAAAGCGTAGCTAATGGTGGCGACGATGACGAAGATGAAGATGATGAAGATCGCCAGATAAAAGTTGAAGATGACGACGATGACAAGAATGACGCTAATGCTGCTGCTGCTGCTGATAGTGATGATGCAAATGATGACTTCAGTGGAAAGAAGAACTATGGGGTGATATAAAATATTCATTCCATCTTTTATAATTTATAGTAATGTAATCATCAAAATCAAAATAATTAAATTAATAATAAAAATGATGTTAATACCAATTAGTCAAATATTGCAAACTGAGATGATGTGTATGCGGTTTTGAATGTTCATTTTGGACATTCTTGTGTTAGCTAATTCCAGATCAAGCAGTGCTAACTGATATGATTGTGTGTGACACGCAGGCTTCATTTTTCTTTCTAATTTGGTGAATTTGATTGGTTGCTATGTTATAATTTATATTATATTACGAATTTTCGTTGTTTACATTATTATGAATAATTTTGTTTTTCAACGTGTTTGAGGCTCCTTTAGTTACAACTTCATCACCATTATTGTAACAAAAATGGATATAAATTTATAATTGATACACTGCAGTTGTCTTATAATGTACAAAATTCACTTTAAACATTTATTTACTTGCAGGCTGATAAAAAGATAGAAAGAACTAGGTTATTTATAACTGTATTGTTAGCTGCCTTGTTAGCTGTGCCGTCGTTCGTTGTTGTTGTTGTTGTTACTGTCAACTGTGTTGTTGTGGCGAACTCTGTGATGTTATTTTGTTGTGACACGTTGCAGGTTGCATTGTTGTTGTATGTTGTAGTTGTTGTTCTCTTAGATATTCTTTTCAGTTTTGTTAATTGTGTTATATTATGCTGTTCATTGATTGTGATGTGAGCAGTACTTGTTTATGTATATATCTATTGCAGGTATAATAAATCCATTTTCTACATGCACTCCTACAATAATTTTATACCGTAAATAAATTTACCACTAGGAGCTGCAGAAGGGATGGGCTTACGGTGAAAAAGAAAGGTACAGCAAAGAATAATTGTAATCTCACTACAAATTTGACATTAACTTCTCTATCTTCGACATTAATTTCATCAACCACGACAACAGTAGCACCACATGTCAAGGTGATGTTTTTTGGTTTAACTCGCGGTTTTATTTGTATATCTTTATGTATAATAGATGGTATGTACACATATTTCAGTGTACATTTGTATGGTTTTCATGTGTACTAATCATATATCTATGTTTGTGTACTGTATGTATGCATATATGTATGTATTTGTATGTTTGTTTGTATGTTTGTGTGCTTGACATACTTGTGCATAATTCATAAAGGCACCAGGCCAGAAAAAATTGGACAGCAGTCATAAGAAGCAACAGCAATCCTCCAGTAAATCAAATGTTGTCAAACACAGCATCAACGATGATGATAAGGATGAGGAGGGCGTCATAGATGCGGCCGCTATCGCCACTGCTGCTGCTGCTGCTGCTGCTGTTGTTGGTGATAAAGATAGCTTGGCAAATGCCAATGAAAGTGATAAAAACTTAACCAAGATAATATTAATCAGTCAGCAGCAGCAAGCATCTTCTTCTTCGTCATTCTCATTATCACCATCAACGTCATTCTCATCATTGCCACATCACATTCACTCACCAAAAACTACGTCATCATTTTCACTATCGTCATCCGCGACGACAGCCACGACATCAGCGTCATCGTCTTCATCACTGCCACCATTATCGCCATTCCCTACCGTTATATCTGCTGACAGCAATCAAAGCTTTACGAAAAAAGTTTGTAGTATGCTCCTCATTACCAAATTGTGTATCAGTTCTGTGTTTCCTTTATTTACCTCATTTCTCTCTCTCTCTCTCTCTCCCTCTCTCTTTATATATATGTGTGCGTGTGTTTGTGTGTGTATGTGCGTGTGTTGTGTGTGTTTTTAAATTTTTAATTTATTTTTCTAATTAAAATAAAACTAGTGAAAATTTCAACAGAGATGGCTGAGGCAGGCAATAAATGAGTCAAGTGAAATGAACCAATTAGCAGCAGCAGAAGAATTAGGTCATTGTAACTTAGTTACATCATTTGCTCCACTTAAGAAGAGGAGGTTGACAGTTGAGGAAGATGTTTATTTTCCTACTACGGCTTTTGCTGCTGCTGCTGCTGCTGCTGCTACTACTAATACTACTACTACTACTGTCGTCAGTTCTGCTACTAACACAGACCCTCACAGCTCCATCCTTTTAAATGATAATTGTAATAGTAATCTAAAAGTTGGTGATAATAATGATGGTAGCACGAGTAGTAATGTTACGATGGACAGTTCATTAATGCAATCAAATTTAAGAACAGTATTTTTGACGGCAACAAATGTTGTAACGGCATCAACTACATCAGCTACAACAACTACAACTACATCAGCTACAACTACATCAACGACGTCAACATCAACTTTCTATCCAATCAAAGATCATTTGACGAAAGGTTTTAGTGCTTCAGCTTTTACAACATCAACTACAACACTTTCTTCTTCATTTTCAATGCTTGCAACTGCATCATTATCATCATCAGCAGCAGCACAAATAACCTCGTCGTCAATACTATCATCATCATCATCAACAACAACAACAATTCCATCACCATCTTTGTTTCTGCCATCATCATCATCATCATCGTTACCAGCAACAGTTTTTTTATCAGCTTCCAATGAAATGTCACTGACATTGGGACCATCTACATGTGATTTTACAGCATCATCAAAAACATCAGCAGCAACAACATCAGCCAGACTAACATTAACAAAGACATCAACAACAGTTGAACCAATTCTGTTGACTTTTTTCACGACAGCTTCAACAGTAATAGCAACAACGGTCTTGACGCCAACATCATCCCTACCAGATTTATGTTGTAATACATACACTGCTGTTTCTCCAATCAGAGCATCATCTTTATCACCTGAAACCTCCACATCTTCATCATCCTCATCCTTCTCTTCGCCATCGTCCTTGTTGGTTCTTCCTGTGCTGGCTCAAGCACAGGCAACATCAGCAACATCATCAGCAGCAGCAGCGATGTCATCAAATACTTCACCACTTCTACTACCATCATCAACAATAATAGCCACACCATCGTTGCCAGCATCATTATCTCCATCGAAACAACAGCAGCAGCAGCAACAACAAACAACTACAACGTTATTAATGTCACCAGTGATTTCAAATTTGCTGACATTATCACCATCTACTTTGTTGTTGTCAAATGCACCATCTTCGTCATTGACGACATCGTCATCTTCCTTAATGACAACACTTTCACCGCCATCTTCATCACTATTACCTCTATCATCATCATCTTCTTCTTTACTATTATCACCATCATCTTCATCGTCACGTCTGTTCACGTCAAATATGATGACATACGCACCATCCCATCGTGGGCATTTTCCACAATTGGTGACGAGTTATGTCGTCCCGACAACAACAACATCAACAACATTAATGTCGCCAACATCAACTGGTTTTTACAACAACACCAGCAACACTTTCATCAATTCATCTTCATCATCGAGTACTAAGAAGAAAGTAAAGTTACAAAAAATAACTGTTGTTGTTGTGTCTGTTGTTGGTTATATTTGTTTTGTGTTGTTGTTGATGTTGATGTTGTTGTTGTTGTTGTTGTTATTGTTGTGGTTGTGGTTGTGGTTGTTGTCATTCGTTTCTGTGGTGAAATTTACTCTCCATAAAAAAAACTGTTCATAATTTTAAATATCAGATGTTGAAAACAATTACAACACAACAGATGTCATTGTCAGAGTACAGAAACAGGATGAAGATATCCGTCAACACTTCATCATCAGCAGCAGCAGCCGCGACAACTTCGTCGTCGTCGTCGTCATCATCTCCACATCTCTTCTCATCCTCATCACCACCCCCACCACCTTCTTTCATGTCCCCAGTCAGCCAGAATCACGATCTTTTCTCACCTACTCTTCATCGTCTTTATCGTCATCAGCGGCATTCGTCGTCCTCTCCACCGACGACAATGACGTCATCATCGATGGCATCATCTGGACCATATTCAACTTTGGACCCGCGCATAAGCCGCCACACTCAGCACTTGAATCACTCTCACCCTCCGAGATTCGACGATGACGGTCGCGGCGACAATGGGGCCGTTCTCCTCGATTATTACGTCGGCAATGAGGATGAAGATAACGATGACGTCATTGGGGATTTCATTGCTGCTGGTAGTGCTGTAGAGATACGAAGTCTATCTACGTCATCGTTGTCAAGAGGTATGAAGAGCTGGTGATGTTGGTGATGTGGTGATTATGTATATGATGGTGGTTGCTTGAATCATCATCACAGGCAGGTCCAAGAATAACTGTGCAGTGATGAGGGAGAAGAAAATGCTGATGACGACCCGAACATCAACTGCGCCGACGATGATGTCCATGAAGAATGCAGGCTGGATGTTCGAAGATACGGCCGCTGAAAAAGTTCTTATCAATAAGTCGTTGACTCTCACCGAGAGGCTGAAATTAGAATTCGGAGTTGATGCACACGACGATGGTTGGCATAAAATTGTGTGTGTGTGTGTGTGTGTGTGTGTGTGTGTGTGTGTGTGTGTGTGTGTGTGTGTGTGTGTGTGTAAATCTAACTGTTCTAGATGTATTAAAATGTAATAATAAATTACTCTTTAGAAGCTGCTGTGTCCTGTGAATATTCAGACTCATCAGCGACATTCATAACATCATCATCATCAGCAACACTGACAACAGCAGCAGCAGTCACGACGGATGCAACATCACTGCTGACAGCAACAACGCCACCACCTCCTCCAACAGCAGCAGCAACAACAGTCTCAACAACGACACCAACATCAGCAACAACATCGGCAACAACATCACCTAGGATGAAATGTTGGAGGAGACAAGATAAATCCATTCCACATGGTATCACATCAACGACCTATGAGGATGACTATGGTGATGATAGCAACAACAATAACAATAATCAACTAGCGAAATCAATTCAACACAGGAGCAAGAAGGATAACAACAGCAACAAAGACGACGACGACAGCAAGCAGTTGAGAGAACGACAACAACAAAACCACCATCACCAGCACCATCGCCGCTGCATCTCACTGAAGTCTAATTCAGGTTCCAACATCACTTCCGCTGCCACTGATGGCGTTCACGACGCTCCTAAGTTAGTTGCAGTTAATGATGATAATGATGTTGAAGATGAGGAGGAGGAGGATGAGGACGATGATGGAAAGTGCTACCGATATGAGAAACCCTCCCTGGTAGAGAGTGAAGTTGATGGCTATTTCGATGATTATTACGGAGACAGTAGGAGGGCGTTCCGAGGTTACAATGGTTCCTCATCTGCTCACTCGTCGTCGTCGTCGACCTCGTTGCTGCTGCTACCAGTAAATAATAGTAGTAGCAGCAGCGGTGGTGGTAGTAGCAGCAGAGGTCGCTGCCAAGATGCAATAACGAGAGGAGGGATATATGATGATGAAAAAGTATACAGTGGTGGGGGTGGTAGTAGTAGGAAGTATGCCACGTCATCGTCGTTATCCCATCATCGTAGTAACAACAGTTACTACCGGCACCATCCCTACCATCATTTTCCTCCATCATCTGCTGACCCGTACAACAACAGCAACAACAACAGCAGCAGACGTGAGTACAGAGAAGAGATGCATCATCATAGCTCACAAAGTAGATCTCCATTGGCTCGCTACCAACAACACAGACGGCGACAACAACAACACTTCCAGCATCATCAATACTACCAACAGCAACAACAGCAGCAACAACAACATTCACCTAGATATATCTCAAATGCCCGGGATAGAATGATCAATAAAAACAAATGAATATAATGATGTTCGGTGCATGTGTGTATGAGCATAGATGTGTGTGTGTGTACGTGTGTATGTGTGTGCGTATTTGTGTGTGTATTATGTGCATAAATTGTGTACATGTGTAAAGATGCGTATGTGTGTGTACATAATTGTATATTTCATTATAATATTGACCATTCAACTATTAAATATACAATATTTAATGTACAATACATGTTATATATAATGTTGCTCTTCTTTATAACCTGTACATATGTTACATGTTAGATTGTTCCTCAATAGTATAATTATATTGTTGATCAGATCAGTTAGTTGTCTTTTAACTTTTATAAAAATATATATGTGTGTATTATTGTTTTGTTTTGTTGCTGTTCAAATTTTCAATTATCTTATTTATTTCCATTATTTGTTTGTTTTTTTTGTTACAGCTCATTATATGACTATAACATACATACATATGTCATGCTTTGTTTTACTTTGTATATGTGTGTATACGCTCGTAGGAAGGGGTCGTCCGCGATTGGGATGGAGAGAGCAGGTGGAGAAGGACAGGGTGAAAGCGGGGTTGCGTGATACTGAGGCGAGTGACAGATGTGGATGGCGTCGAGGGGTATTTCGGTTTCATCATAGGTAGCCAAACGGCAACCCCCGATCTCGGGGAAAATGTCGTCTAAACGTGTGTTGTTGTTGTTGTTATGTGTGTATACGCTCGACACACAGACATTCACACACACACACACACACACACATTACATATATACACACATACACATACATTCGTTTTACATACATTTACTTATATATTATAAACTAGTTATTTCTAATAATTTCTCTCATTTTGTTATTTATTATTCCATATTGTTTTATTCACAACGTATATTTATAACAATAATTATTGTTATATTATTATTGTTTGTTATATTATTTTTATTATTTTTATTGATTGTTGTTAGTTTTAGTATTATTATTAGTTGCACATTGTTATATTTTAATGTTATCACTATCACATAACATAAACATGTCGGTTATATATCAAAATTTATATATACGGTTATATATATATATATGTGTGTGTATATATATATATATATATATATATATATAATGATATTTTTTAAATGGCTGTTTTGTTTTAAAATCATATATGCTAAACTTCACTAGTGGTTTTTGATTTTAACATAGATTTAATTAATAATATAATTAGAAGGTTAATTGACTCTAATTGATTAATCAATTAATGTTTCATTATATATTTAAATATATATTAATTAGTTGACTAATTAACGCGTTAAAGTTGCGAGTTGTTGGTGTGTATGCGTTTTTATATGGTTGTGTGCGTGCGTGTGTGTTTGTGTATGTGTATATATATATATATATATATATATATATATATATATATATATATATGTGATATGTGTGTGTGTGAGTGAGTGTGTGTATATGTGTGTGTGTGCGTGTGTAAGTGTGAATTAAGACTGCAGAATCGGACAGAGTACATATATATTACATATTATGTGCTGTACTGTTGGCAGCTGTGTGCTTTTCGATGAAAATTTCTTTCAGGTTTTATTAAATTACATTTCTGTTGTAATTTTTTTAAATTGTATTTTTTTTTTCTTAAAATTTTTTGAATATAGAGCGAGCGGGCGATTGTTTCAATTTATGTTCGTTTCTGAAGCTATCATCGTCATCGTCGTCGTCATCATCTTCATCATCTCGATATGTTATATTAGAAGGATTTTAATAGCTAATGATATATAAACAGACAGACAGACAGTACTTGATAATGTTGATGCTCCTGAATTAATTATGATTAATAAATTGTTTCTAACACTATCTTGTCCAGAGAAGAAATATATAAATTTGAAAGATAATCTTGTTACTTGTTGGGTATATCTCTATTTTATTTAATCGTTTGTTTGTTTGTTCCCTATCCGATTGATATTGTATCACAAACATTATTACAGTTTATACAAGCAGTGACTATAAAAGTACATGTATATACATGTATCTATATATATAATACGGTATGTATGATACGGATATTGTACATACATGCGTACGTACTGTGTATAATACATTGCCGTGGGTATCGAAGTGGTTCTTGTATCTATCAATTGTATCTATGTATTGAGATATTGTCTGTTTTAGAATGTTAAATCGGCGCTGTGTCTGTAGTAGTTGTGATGCTTGTTCATTTCATGACTGGTGTTTGTTGTCGTTTTCGCGTTGCCTTTCTCACCATGTTTCTCATCCCAAAACTGGCCGAACGTACCTTTTTTTGAAGAGCAACGTGATTGTAATAACTTTAATATCGCCCATTTTCACGGGTGTTTTTATTTTGATCGAACTCTTTTTAATTTTGGGTTTAAATTTTTTAAAAATTTTCTAATTTGAATAATTTAATAATTTATTTTAAATGGATTTGTTTTATTGGCGATTCGATATTGAATCTAGCGTTAGATGGATCACGGAAAACAATTTTCAAAGGGTCTGTGTACATTTTTTTTTCACTGTCACTTATTTATTTGAAAATTAATTTTAAAATAAAAAAAAATTAATTCTGTAAATGTTTAGCAGTTAAACAAATTAAATTACTTAACTATGACTTTATTTGAATGAATTAATTATTATAAAGGTTGCCCTGCAGTTTTGTGAAGATTTGTACAAGGACTCAATAAAAATTTATCTGGAAATCAAGAATAAGTTGCCTCCCTCAACTGAACTGGCAATAATTGCTGATAACAAGTACAACAGGTTGTCTGTCTATGTAAATTTATATATATATACACATATTATATATATATTATGTGTATATGTATGTATGCTGGTAGAAGACAAAATTCTTGACAAGGTGTAATAAATCTCACTGATTTATTAATGTTTATCAACTTACATTCAAATTTTTCAATTTGTTTCAGTAAATTTTTATCAACATAATTCATGTATTCATATATATTTATATATCCAATATATTTTGGATTAAATTCTTGACTAGTTTTGACAGTCTAATAATTAAATTTATATTTAATATATATATATATTAAATGAAATTTTTTTTATTATTTTATGGTTTTTAATGAGATTCACTCATTGAGTTAATTTTAATTAATTAATTGATTTATTGATTATATTATATCTTTATAATTGCACAATCTCCATTTCTAATACTTAGCTATTTAATTTATTTCACTATTAATTCAATTTAACCAACAACAACCGCATTGAAGTTGTTGTTTGGATGAAATCAATGCAGAACACTTGCGATCTGACTGTCTCATTCACTATGGCGAGGCATGCTTCTCACCGAACTCCTACAAAACAAAATTCCCTGTTAAGTATGTTTTCCCCAAGAAATCTCTCAATTTGTCAACATTCGGTGAAAATTTGAAGAAATTTATGACCAAAAACCCCGAAGAAATGATTGCTACAACTCGATATGTGGTTGTGTATGGTCTTGCCTATCATTATCTGAGAGGTGGTTGAAATTTTTTCATGTTAAAAAGGGCACTCAACTTAATAAATGTGGCATGTGTTTCAATTTATCTGTTTTGTTCATTCTATTTAGTGCTTGTTTTGTTTAAATTTTGTTGTATAACATTCCTCCATTGGATCTCTATCTGTTTGTCTTTATTGGGTTTGGTTATAGATCGTAATCATTCGTCCATTCATTTGTTTGTTTGCCTGATTTATAATTTTAAATTTCCTGTTTATTTAAGTTTTGCTTTAAAAACCAAAAAATCAATTTTCAGACGAGATTACATCATGCTTCAAAGAACTCAATGTATTGTTTCATTGCCCTATCATAGAGGAATATTCTGCTGACGATGGTGACAACCAAACAGCAACAGATGAGCATAAATTTCACCAACATTTCGTTGGTAGAAATTTTAAATTTTCAGCAGAAGACAGAAAAACCATTAAGATCATATACATTGGTGGCGAAGATAGCTTCATAACCAGTCTCTTGATGAGGCTTAATGAGTGTTCATGTGCCATTTATAAAGTTGAGGAAGATTCGTTTGTTGATGGCTGGTCTTGCAATAAGCTGCTGAAGAAAAGGTTCTTTCTTTTAATTTTTGTTATTCTATGTTCATCATTTTATGTTGTTTTCATTAGTTTTTAATACCAGTTTGTGTAATCTTTTCAAAAAATTTTTACTCCAGTCTGTTGCAAATCATTATTTATTTTAAAAATATAACTTGCAGATATTACATGGTAGAGAAAGCAAGAGATGCAAATTTCATAGGCATAATTGTTTCTACATTCAGTAACTTTTCTACTCAAGTCATTGAAAAATTGAAAACTTCGATTAGGCAGGTGGGGAAGAGGTATCGAATATATAGCCCCGGCTCGTTGAATCCTGCAAAACTGGCAAACGTCAGTGAATTTGATGCCTTTGTTTATGTTTCCTGCCCACTGAATGCTTTCATTGATTGTTCTGACTACCTACAGCCTATTGTTACACCTTATGAGATGTTGTTGGCCTGCAAGAGGACATTTGCCTGGACTGGTGATTATTTACTGGATCTAGGAGAACTAGCTAGAAGTGGATCATTTGCTAAATTCACTTTTAGATTTTATTTTAAATTCTTGAATGTTCATCTTTTTTCGTTCAACTCTAATCTAGCCTTAGTTTATTTATGATCAGTTTATCATTTTAAACTTATCTTTTTTTCAGTACATGGTCACTTATTTATTTTAATTTGTCAATTAAGCTATTTTTGGTAATTATATGAAAAAAAACATCATCATCCATTAGAATGCAAACGTTCGTTATTACGTATGACCTCGCCTCAGTGAATATTTTCTATATAATTATCATTATTATTTATAATAATATATTTATTTATGTATGTATCTGTATTTATCATTGTTGTTGTTACCTACATTATAACCTTATAACCTTTTTTAAAATGAATAAATAATTATCAGAAGTGAACGCGGATGACGACGACACATTGGTCGGTGACGTCACGATGGATGTTTCACTTATAACTGGAAGAACCAGGAAGATAGGGTTGGGAGAATACGAACAACAGCAACAACAACAACGTCATCGCAATAATAAGAATAATAATAAACGTTCATGTTGCCATGGTGACGAAAGTTGTTGCCACAGTGACGAGGATGGGGATGTTAAGGAAATTGCATGTCTCGGATCCAGAAGTATCGCTGCCCAGTCATCTTATGGTCTGTTGTTTATTTAGGTTGATGTCATTTCAATTTCTATCTCTTTTTAGTTTAGCGGTGCAATGATTAAGACGTTTGGTGCTGTTGTTGATGCCCAGAACTGTTGATTGATGAAAAGTTTAACTTTTATATGTTTTTTATGATTGAACGTTCACCTTCCAAGTGCCTCAAGTTCAAATTATGTAAACTAATCGTACTCACTCTAGACCTGATTGCTAGTTTTGCACACTTTTTACACTCGTAACCTGGATATTACTTGGTGTAAATTCTGATGTTGTATTTCGTTAATTAACAAAGTGTTCATTAACTTAACTCCCTTGAATTTCTAATTAACTTAATTATTGAGTTTAATTAACTCAATTAGGAGAGCACTGGTCCGCACGGTCCTGGAGAGGACTGGAGATGAAGTTAGGCGAGACGGATGTCGTTGCTGTAGTTGATGGCTGCACAGGAATTCCAACGTCATATCAACACGAATGTAAACAATGACGTCATCGTCAACTCGTGTGTGTGTGTGTGTGTGTGTGTGTGTGTGTGTGTGTGTGTGTGTGTGTGTGAACAATGACGTCATTATCATCATTGTTGACATCATCATCGTCGTCGTCATCATCTTCATATTTGTTTTTATTTTCGTTTATGAAAATATATTTTAAATTATTTCAAATTATTTCATCGTGTTCAGCTGATGTATTGTGTTTTATGATTGGTTATTTTTGTCATTTTTAAATAAAAAATGCATTCTAAAACATCCAAGTAATATATATGTACATATATAAACTCATATATATATATATATATATATATATATATATATATATATATATATATATGTATATGTATACCCTGTCTAGACTGCAGTCGGTTCAAAATTGGGCTACAAGATTTGTTTCAGGTGGCCTCAAATACGATCACGCTAAGCTAATTCTTTTTGCTCTTTACTGGCTTCCGGTTTATCAAAGAGTTATTTTCAAGATATGTTTAACGGTTTTTAAATGTATTAAAAGAGTTGCCCCTAAATATTTAACTGACAGAAGAATCATTCCTAGAACAATGCCACTGCTAAGTCTAACTTTGTGCTCTGACAATTCAGGTTTACTGTTTGTACCTGACACAAACTTGGCTTTTTGTCGAAGGAATTTCTCCGTAATGGGTCCTGCTGTCTGGAATGATTTGCCTAGGAACCTCCGGGATCTTGCGTTGTCTGCTATTCAATTTCGTAAAAGGTTAAAACTTCCACGTCTTCTTGTCCAAGCTTACTTGTGCTAATGTCTTATTCTCTCCATTCACTTCACTGCTTTAAAAAAGCGCTACGTAGTGTACTGCAATAATCGTTAGCGCCTCTGAGATCATTTTAAATGGCGCTTACAAGCACACCAATAATAATATATACAATATGTGTATCATCATTGCATTGAAGATATATTTTATTATAACAGATCAGTTTTATTTCGCACTTCTAAGCATCATCAGTGGTTTAAGATTGAGCGGTTGATTGAGCGAACGAGTTCAATTCAGTAACAACGGCACCAGCTGATGATAATTATTAAATTCAATGATAGATCCATGAGGAATGTTTGACCGTTTCAGTGAATTAGCATTTATTCGTCTTCCAATTTCTGATATTTCATTTCATTCAAATACGTTAGAAATATAGCTGAACATTTCAATTATGCTCCATCAAGAATTATATTCTGGTTGTTTCAATCCATGAAGTTTATAATAAATTTGAAGCGCCATGGTTGGGTTTATGGTAGGGCAGATAAGGGATGTATATATATGTGTGTGTGTTATCAATAATGAACAACAAACATTGTTAAATATTACTTGAAGACCTATGTAGACGTACGTGAAAAAAAGATGATTTATTGTACAACTGCTCCGTTTTGTACCTATACGTCTGTGTGTGTGCGTATTACCGTACGTGTGTATGTATGTGTGTGTATATATTCGCAAGCTTAAAGAGAGAAACTTAAGCATTAAGTGCTTGTTTATTGTAGGAATGTTATGTTAAAATAAAAAATTACCCTTACAAAAATGTATGTACGTATTTATGTATGTGTGTATGTATGTGTATGCAACGCTGATGTATTAGAGAAAATTAACATGATCATCATCTTCTTTATCATCTCCAGCTTCCTCATCATTGCTTTTGTTATCATCATTGTGTCGTAGTCATTTCTTCTGTTAAAGGTATGTGTGTGTGCGTGCGTGTGTATGTATGTGTGTTTGTGTGTGTGTGTGTGTGCGAACATTAAGAGCAGGTATAAAATTTCATGAAGTCTCTCTGATAACGCATAATTGTAATCATACGAAAAACAAATATGGAATGAAAATATGTACAAGATAGAAACGTACACAAATATATATATTCAACTAACTGAATTGTTGAATCAAATATATATATATATATACATGTGTGTGTGTGTGTGTATATATATAACAAATTCTTATGATGTTTAAAACGGTAAACAAACACATTTAGAACATTATCTTGTTTTTGTTTTGAACCTCGTCATTCTAGAAATACTAAGAAATATATATGTATGTATGTATTTTTTAGTATATATGTGTGTGTGTATATATAGTGTATATATATATATATAATGTACATATATATATATAATGTACATATATATATAATGTATATATATGTGTGTGTGTGTGTATGTGTATATTTATACACAGTAATATTTTTAACACATCCTATAAAACTTTTTATCGGTTTGTTTATCATTGAACCCTTTTGCTAAATGGATGAAAGAATAGAGTATTATACTCACACACACACTCCTGTGTGTGTGTGTGTGTGTGTGTGTGTGTGTGTGTGTGTGTGTGTGTGTGTGTGTGTGTGTGTGTAATATAAGTGTTATATTTTCATATTTGTGTGTGTATTGGCCTACACCTGCTTGTATATGTATATATATATATATATATATATATATATATATATATATATATATATATATATACGTTTATATATAACAATGACAGATGAAAAGAGCATGGAAAAACAATTTTCATTTGATAATTTGTAACTTGAGCATTTGCCATTAAGGATAGCTAAATAAATTCAAATGAAGGAGTGAGGAATTGAAGGAATGAATGAGTGAAATGAGTGAATAAAGGAATGAATTGAAAATAAATAAGGGAATTTATGAACGATAAATCAATTGGTGTATAAATAATCGTGAATATTTTATAATCAAATATTGCTAAATAATAAGATAACTCCATATTAGTTGAGTTTTTATTAATAATTATTAATTTAATTATTTATAATTGCTAATTTAATTAATATTAGTTTATTAATTATAATAAAAGTGTTATTAATAATTAACGTTAATTATTTTGTTATATTTAATTCGTGCAACGTGTTGTAAGATTGTGCTTTGATTCACTCAGTAAGGTTAAGACCGAACCAGCTATTATTTATTATTTATCAATCGATATCTTCTACTGCTGTGTACAAATAGTTGCTTTAATGTGTGCCTGTGTATGTGTACGTGTGCGTGTACGTGTGTGTGTATTTGTATGTGTGTATTTGTATGTGTGTATTTGTATGTGTGTATATATAAATAGTTGTTTCAAGATTTCCAAACTTAATTTTTATTATTTTCCTTTTTTAGACTGTTGATGAAATTTTTTTAGAAGATGCACAATAACAATTCAGGTTTCATGGACTCAAGAGGTATCATAGATAAACTTGGAAATCTATTTCGCGTTGAACTGACGGACAGTTATTGAGCGGACATAATCAGATTAAAAACTGATTGAATCAACTTATTAACATCATCACCGAGTTTTTTATATTCTGCCTGCACTGTGAATGTTGAAAATTGCTGAGACCTAGAAATCATCATCCTTCGTCATCCTAATTTTACTCACCTCATCACAATTAATATTCTCCGATCATTTCACACAATTACAGCTCTAAGGAGCACTTTAAATTTTATGAATTCCATGTGAGAAACTCTTTTCACAGAAGAAACCAAAGAATTTATATAACTATCTGCGAAACTTGCCCCAAACCGAACTTGGAAGGAGAAAAGATGGCGAACATGGCGAGTGCATGTGCACTGGTGGTTTCTGAGGATAAATCATTCAACCCCATAAGGTCGTGGTCAACGAGAGCTGCGGCTACTACGTGCGTTCTGGTCAGCATATCTGTGGTCTGCACTGTGACGCTGGTCGTCTGCGGGGTCATCATCGTCAGGGAGTACTCGTTGGCGTCTGCTTATAAAAAGTGAGATGTTGTTTGCTTGCCATTTTGTTGGTCTACTTTTTATGTCGTTTGTCTGTTTTATTGGTTGATTGATTGTTTGTCTGTTTGGGTGGTTGGTTGGTTGGTTGTCTGTTTGGTTGGTTGGTTGGGTGGTTGCACAGTCATCCAAGTGTTTGCCGGTTAGTTCCTTAGTTTGTTCGTTCTTAATGTCTGTTCATCCGTTTGTTCGTTTTTTTCTTCGTTAATTACTTGCTTGTCTATCTATGTTTGTAATTGTTAACATGATGTTTTTGTTTGCAATTTATTTTGTTACACGCTCGTTTGTCCATTCGTCCATTCATTCATTGCTTGATCAACTCATTTTCATTCTACATATTTTTAAATATTTGCAACGAAAATAGAAGCAAATAAAAACTTCCACCTCTTATCATTTTAAAATTCAAATCATCAAACATCAGAAAATTTAAATATTACGAAAGTAAAATTTGAAAACTTCTTCAGAAGCGAGGACTGCTGGGTGAAGAACATAACCTACACGGAGCTGAAGACCTGCCACTACTGTCACAAAGACAAGTCAAAAGATAAACACGCCGGCCTCTGTATCCCAACTCAGTTTCCGTGCGTCAGGATCACAGTTGGATACGTGGCCAGGGGAAGGGTGAAGGAAGGGTTCCTACATTCTGACAGCATTGAGGCCAGTGGTTCATTCAGTCAGGTTGAGTTTCTTTTTTCTGGGTTGAGTGTGTTGAATTTTTGATGATTTGAGTATGTATAAACTTATTTAAAAACTGAAGTGTCATGACAGATTTGAACAAAAAATGCAGGTCTTCAACCTTTTTTTCTAAAAATATCTAGCTTCTTCTATGGAAAATTTTTGGCTACGCTACTGGCTATTTGAACATTAGCTACCCTCTCAAGTCTAATATTTTTTTAAATTATTACAATAATTAATTTCATAAAATAAACTAGCTCTCCTCGCCATCCAACCAACCCCACCATACAATACAATAAAATGCAATACAATACATTAAAATACAATACAATTCAATACAACACAATACAACACAATTCTATACAATACAATATAATACAACACAATACATTACAATACAATTCAATACAATACAACACAACACAGTGCTCATTCCACGTGTGCATGCAGAACATGCATGACAACGTTCAAGCCGTGGAGGACTACGTAGACAGGTGGCGGTTATTTGCATTCAGGTACCTGCAAGAAAGACTGGATGAGAACACGATCGACGAGAACGTTTTGAACCAAATCATCGCCAACTACTACAACTCATCCTCGCACGTCAGTGGCGACAAAAACAGCAGCAGTAGCAACAAAGTAAATTGGAGGTCGATCATGGAGAACAAAACAGCGGCTGATGCAGGTGTCAGCAGTCGCTTTTTCTGCTACTACAACGTTGACGAGCCGCATGACGTCATTGAGCAGAAAAACTACACCATGTATATCAAGTTTTTTTTTTTAGTTTTTTTTTAGAATTGAAATTTTTCCGATAAGAAAAGTTAACTGAATTTAATCGAGATGATAAATCAAAATCTAACTAAAACAACTGACAAATATAATAGACGCAAATTTGATTTGAGATGAATTAATAAAGAAAAACCAACTGAAACGAATCAGATGGGACGTGGTCCACTGCATGTTGTGGCCGTCGCTAATCATCGCCATCTGCTGCCTACTCTTCCTCTACATAGAAGCACACAGGAGGAACCTGACATGCTGTGGAGTGAGGGAGACGGAGATGAGCGGCACGCACATCATCACAAATCACGCCTCTGCAAACATTAAGAGAGGTAAAAATGTCTCTAAAAAACAGCATTATGTCCTAAATAATTACTCGAACAGTGCAAAGTTGTCCAAATGATTTGCTTTTCTTAACTTATTAACAGTCACTTTATTCTGTGTATTTTTAAAATAAAATATAAATACACAGACGTACATACATACACATACATACACATCCATACACGTACACACACCATACACATACACGATTAAATTATCAGAGACTCATCTATATTATATATCCATTAATCTACTTCAGCACAGTCGGACGATTAACATTCGGCATTTTTGACCCAAGACGTTTAGTTTAAGTTTGTTACAAACACCATTCAGCTTTCTTCATAATTTACCTTGAAATATTATTTTAAATTATAAGGTTGAGTTTACGTTGATTTTTCTTCTTTTATTAAATTTACCGCAATTATTTTCATTGTTTTAATGATACGTCTTCCAACCGACCATTATAAATTGTCTTGACATTTATCTCTATTATAATATTCAAAGAAATATCTAATTTCACATAATTACCGTAGTAATAGTAGTAGTATTAGTGTTTAGTAGTAGTAGTAGTAGTCGTAGTAGTAGTAGTAGTAGTAGTAAAAGTAGAAGTAGTAGTAGCAGCAGCACCTGTAGCTATATAAGAATGCCTGAGAATACATGAAACTTGAAAATACACGGATAAACATTTAATTTTTTTTTAAAGTAAGAAAAATACATTTAATTTCGCCATGATTTGAAATTCACGATAAAAAAATAAAGTTATTGTAATTAATAAACTTCGCGTGTCCTTCAAATGCGAGCAAACTATGAAATAAGCTAGGTATCATCACATAACTAGAATAAATATAACGGCCTTCGCTAACTTTTAACGGTCGAACAAGGAGCTTATTTCCGGAGGGGAGTTGGAGGGTGATTTTTTATCGTTTGAGTCAAAAGTTACGATCGTATATTTACTAATTTTGGAAAATTGCTTTTATTTAAAACTTAGAATTTTATTTTTTTAATTGTTGTTCAATGTGGTAATTTATTACTTTTATTTGGTAGAAATTTAGAAAAATAAAATACACATTACCGAAAGAGCGGATCTCAAGACTCATCTCTTTTCAAAATTCATTGAGGAGCGCTGTTGAACATCACGGGAATACCGCTTTATAAGCTAATTGATTGATTGATTGATTGAAAATAATTAAAAGTTCAAAAAGTAAATAGGCCTCCCCTTGTCTATATACCAATGCAATAATTTTAAAAAGCAACTTCTCAAACTACAGTTTATGATTTTATTGAAAATTAATTAATCAAACATGTTCGGTGTACGCGTGGGTGTGTGCGTGAACGATGCGAGCACACTCTATATTATACAATAGTATACAATAGAACGGTATTCAAAGAATTAGTGTATAAACACACACACACACACACTCACAAGACATACACAAACACACAGCACACACATACGTACATACACACACACAAACACAACACACACACATAACTAGCTGATGATGTCATATTGCACAAAGTTGAAGATTGTATTAACTAATTTGATAAAACGTAAATGTGTCATGTTACATAAAGTTGAAGAGTGCATTAACTAATTTGATAACACGTGAAAGTGTTGAATTACACTAAGTTGAACATTGTAATAACAAACTGATGACACTTAAAAGTGTCATATTGCAAAAAGTTGATGATTGTATTAACTAAATGGATGACACGTAAAAGCGTCATATTGAACAAAGTTGAAGATAGTATTAACTAACTGATTACTTGTAAAGTGTCATATTGCGCAAAGTTAAAGAGTGCATTAACTAATTTGATAACACGTGAAAGTGTCGAATTACACAAAGTTTGTAATAACAAACTGATGACACTTGAAAGAGTCAAAATGCACTAAGTATTACCTAATTAAATGATCGTTAACTATTCACGAGAAGATACTTAATCAAAATCAATTAAATAAAAGATAACAAAAATAATTGTGAAAAAAAGTACTGAATAAGAATCAATTGAATAAAAGACAAGATAATTGTAAAAGATACTTGAATACAAATCAATTAAATACAAGATAACACAGAGAATTGTAGAAAATACTGATTACAAAGCAAAGTCCGCCAAAATCAATCAAAGTGAAAGCGATCTTTGTACGATATTCATTTGTAAAAGATGCTATATGCAAACCAATATAAATACCAATAAAATTTAACAAAGTCAATCGTAAGTGTTCTTTGGTAATGAAGTCTATATAAATGAGAAGTATTAGCATTAGCTTTTATTACTAAACATTAATAATTAAATTTTTAAAAAGTTAATTTTTAATTATTTTTAATTATTATAAAAATTAAAAATATACAGATAATAATTATATAATAAATATCCAATTATAAAAACTTGTAAAAAATAATTGGATAGTTTTTATATAGTTATAATTTTATAATAACTATCCAATTATAAAGACTTGTAAAAGATACTAAATGCAAACCAATAAAAAAATTTAACAAAGTCAATTTTAAATGTTCTTTCTTAGTGTAGACTATTAGTCTATATAAACGTGAAGCACTACCATTAACTTCCATTACCAAATATTATTTGTCAGCTACTGATAGACCTTCTATCCTTAATTAGCTTACACCACAGTTATTAGAGAAAGTTGCATTATTACATTGAAGTTATTTCGTCCTAAATTCCATTACACAATAGTTTAGTAGTTATTTTAGAAAGTTGCTTTATTAAATTAAAATTATACAGAACATGAGATCATCGAACAACAAGCCAAATAAAATGGCCACCTTTCAGGGGGCAAATAATGGCCGCGCAAACTTTCTGAAACAAGTGAACAATAGGAAGGCTAAAATGAATGAAATTGGCTTTAAATTTTTGCCATCAGTGCCAAAATTAACAACATTAAATGAAAATTCTCTAACTACATCCTCGTCCACGTCATCGTCTGCTGTTAACAAAAACAAAACGGTCGGAGTTACCGGACCCATAAGCTTGGCGGAGCCGAAACCAGAGGAGTTAAAATTAACTGAACAGCTTGATGTTTATTTGCATACCAATGATATGTATGAAACTCCTGAAGAAATAACTAAAAGAATAGATGTTCTAAGAAAAATAGTTCAGCTAGTAGATATTTGGAATAAAGACATGGCCGTTGCAAAGAACATACCGGAGACATCAAACTCAGGAGCTAAGGTTTACACATTTGGATCTTACAGATTAGGTATTAATGCGAAAGGGGCAGACATTGACCTGTTGTGTGTAGTCCCTCGGCATATTGAAAGAAATGATTTTTTCAGTTCGTTCACCGATATTTTGAGAGGAGAACCAAGCATCAAAAACATGAAGAGCATTGAGGATGCATTTGTGCCCGTCATTAAGATGACCTTTGATGGTATTGAGATTGACATGTTGTTCGCGAGATTAGCACTAACAGAAGTTAAAGATACACAGGACTTGAGGGACGACAGCATTCTGAAAAATCTGGATCAAAAATGTGTCAGAAGTTTAAATGGTTGTAGAGTTACTGATGAAATAATGAATCTAGTTTCGAACCTTGAAAGTTTTAGAATGACCCTGAGAGCAATCAAGTTATGGGCCAAAAGAAGAGAAATATATTCTAATGTTCTTGGATTTTTGGGTGGTGTGTCGTGGGCAATGTTGGTGGCCCGCGTCTGCCAACTCTATCCAAATGCAACCCCATCTGTGCTAGTGCAAAAATTTTTCTCTATCTATTCTCAGTGGAAATGGCCACAACCAGTTTTGCTGAAACAGCTGAGTGAAAGTAATATGACTGAAACATTTAGTTCCTGGGATCCAAGGAAAAATCTCTCAGATCGCAGCCACCTAATGCCAATCATAACCCCCTGTTTCCCGAACCAGAATTCTACGTACAATGTTAATACATCAACTAGAGATATAATGATGGATGAATTTAAGAGGGGTTTTAATATATCTACAGAAATTTTAAACGAAAAAGACAGTTGGGAGATCCTCTTCAAGCCCTATGACTTCTTCCGCAAGTACAGACATTTCATTGTTGTAAGGATTAGCTCTTCCACTGCAGCCACTCATCTGGAATGGTACGGACTAGTCGAGTCAAAACTACGTCTCCTGGTGCAGAAAATGGAGGCTAATTCAGTAATAAAGTTGGCGCATATCAACACCAAAGCATATCCACCAAGGAGTGATTCTACCGAACAACACTGCACTCAGTGGTTTATTGGCCTGACCTTCTCCCAGACTAACGTGAAAGTAAACCTAACCGACGAAGCACTCTACTTCTATGAACAAATAAGTGTCGCTCTCGGGCCTAACCTGAAGGAGGGAATGAACATGGACGTAAAGTATCTTAGGAAAAAAGAACTGAAAAATTATTTGCCAGACGATGTTCTACATACAGTAAGCAGGGAAGTCAAGAGTAAACATACTGATGGTATGAGCTTATCAAATTCGTCATCCCAATTGACATCAACCACTCTTACACGACTTTCACCTGAGTACAACAATTTCACCAGCGAGTTTCTACCACCTTTAAACTACAACGCATACAGTACCAAGACACACATGACAAACGACCAGGGGAACATTCCGGAATGTACGAGCTTTTCAAACTCGTCATCCCAATTGACATCAACCACTCTCCCTCTCCCTAGATCTTCACCGGAGTACAACAATTTCGCCAGCGAGTTTCTTCGATCTTCAATCTACAACAACAAGAGAAAACGTACGGATGATATGAGCTTATCAGATTCGTCATCCCATTTGACATCAACCACTCACCCACGTCCTTCACCGGAGTACAACAATTTCGCCAGCGAGTTTTTACCACCTTTTAACTACAACAACGGAAACGCATCCAGTACCAAGACACACATAACGAACGACCAGATGTACATCCCGGAATGTAAAAGGATGAGAGGCATAAGTCAGACTCGTGCCTATTGAACACTGATTCTCAACCAACTGATAAAGCATAGAGATGAAGGAACATCAGTCATTTTAATGACATTTTATTGATGATTTTAATGATGATAATAATTGAAAACATGCATGTGCTAAACATTTATCTATTCATTATTTCATCTTTTTTAACAAACGAAATTATAGTCATTTTTAATATTTATAATGTTCGTGATGAGGATTGCAGAAATGGCAGTGAGGAACTCGATGATTATTTTACCATTACTCTCACGGCACAGTTTTTTTGCTGTATGTTTTATTTTAACTGTCATTCAGGATTATTATTATTAATATAATTAGTTTATTTTTAGCTAGCATTTTTATGCAGACGTATGTAAAAAAGTAAAGTTGATAATCCATTGCATTTTGATTATGATTAGATATATTTTTCCCATATCTGTCTATGTATGCGAGTACATATGTATATGTACATGTATAAAAAAATTGTACGACAATCTTAACAATAATTATATATATATATATATATATATATAAATTTATATATATATAATATTATCGAAATTGTTCTATACGTCTACAATTAAATTTTTAATAAAATATGAAAATTACGTATATATTACGTATTAGATGTCGATGTTGAGATTTTTACTTTTAAAAAGCAAAAAACTATTGTTCTTTTTCATATTTTATTAAAAATTTATATATATATATATATATATATATATATATATATATATATATATATATATATATATATATATATATATATATATATATATATATATATATATATATATATATATATATATATATATATATATATATATATATATATATATATATATATATATATATATATATATATATATATATATATATATATATATATATATATATATATATTTGGGTTTAGACTATCATAAATACAAATATTTATAAACATCAATGCGTTTTCGGCATTATTCAAAATGTAGTTGAGTTTTTCAATTTTTCAAACGTAACTTTTACCGTTTTGATGAACTTCACTACTTTATAAATTATTAATATTCGGTAGAATTCATAGAATATTGTAAAAATATTCATTTATATATATATATTTTCACGTATGTCATCACTGATACAATATACTACATTACTAGAATAAATATAACGGCCTTCGCTCACTTTTAACGGTCGAACAAGGAGCTTATTTCCGGAGGAGATTTGGAGGGTGATTTTTTATCGTTTGGGCCAAAAGTTACGATCGTATATTTACTAATTTCGGAAAATTGCTTTTATTTAAAACTTAGAATTTTATTTTTTTAATTGTTGTTCAATGTGGTAATTTATTACTTTTATTTGGTAGAAATTTAGAAAAATAAAATACACATTACCGAAAATAATTAAAAATTGAAAAATTGAGGTTCTTTGCATATCCCTGCTTCAACTCATAAGAAAGTGTTGTATATTGGTAAATAGGCCTCCTCTTGAGTAGCATCTGACCAGGTTTTTTTTTACATAAGTTTACTTTTATATATTTTACTTTTACTCGAATTTACTTTTCATTTTGTTTTTTTAGAAAATGCGGTTTTTTCTAAATTTCCCTAATCTAAAAAATTGCTAAAAAGTGCTCATTTTTGTAGAAAACGTTGTAATGACTGACGATTTTCATCAATTTAATTTATTCTCAACGAACGCTTACAATTGATTATTAAAAATAAAAAAGAATTCTTTACACAGCTGGAATTGAAATGAATGCCATTCTTTGCAAATATGTCTTTCTAACATTTTTATATTTCGTCGAAGGATTGCCGTTTGGAATTAATTCATACTTTCTGCCTGTTTATTTGCACAGTAAAGCTAAAAAATCGGCCACAAGTATTTCATTGTTGAAACTTGCAAATGCTCCTTGGTTGTTGAAGTTTCTATGGGGTCCCATGGTTGACGGCTGGGGTTCCAAAAGAATGTGGGTCGTCATTACCAACATTTTCCTAACAATTATTGCAATTTTTTGCTCGCAAGTTGACTCAGCTCAAGATTTGTTGATGTTTTCCATATTCATTTTCATCCTAAATTTAGTGACATCTGTTCAAGATGTGGCTATCGATGCAACAACGTTCTCCATTCTTGATTCTGACAAACTTGCCATGGCTAATGTTGCCCAGGCAAGTAGATGTAAATTTTTTTTGGAAACGTTAATAATCCATTCATGCATGTATCTCATTATTATAATACTTCCAGCATTTTAAAACCCAATTTTAATTGCATCTTGATTATAAAGTAGGTGGTTGGATATAAATTAGGATCATTATTCACTGGGGGCCTCCTGTTATCTCATGTGGACTCCATAGGGTGGATGAACATATTTTTCATCATTGCAATTTGTTACTTCAGTTCATTTTTCATCATTATCTCATCAACTATCCTCAAAGAACAAGAAAAGAAAGAATTAGGTTATCAGTTTGAAAATTTAATTACATATTTTATCTATATTTAAAATTATTTTTATAAATATTAATAGCAAACAAACTCGAAAGCAGAAAAATTATAAACGAAAATTCAACACGGAAACCACGAGAAAACTTCTATGACAAGTTTGATTTCATATTCAACAGAAATACTTTCTGGATGGTTATTTTTCTTCTGTGCTATAAGTTAGGTCATGTTTCAGTTTTTTTATAAAATGTGGATTCTATATTTTGTTCTCTATTTACTTGTAAATATAATAAATAAATAACATAATTTGTTTTTATTTTCTATCATGATTATTAATTTTAAATTTATAATTTCAGGTGAGCAAGGCTCTTTTTCAATTTTGCCACTATTTCTATTGGATTCTGGCATAGATAAAGAAAATGTCATTCTGTGGTTAAATATCTATGGTCAAATTTTATCCATTGCTGGTTCTTTGCTTGGAGGGCTACTCATACAGTGCAGAAAGTTAGTAGCAATAATAATAATAATAATAACTGATGATTTTGTATTTATTAATGATACTAGGAATGTGATCTCTTTGGAATCTCTACTTTGGAATTTGATGATGACGAGGTTTTTGTTCGGCGCACTTCAAACCCTCTTCATAATTCTTTGGTTGAAGTTGCCATACATACAGATCCAGCTCTTTTGTAAATGTTTTTAAATGATTTACTCTATCATTTATTCATTAATTCATTTATTTCTTTTTTATTGTAAACTATTATTAAGTGGCAAATTTTTTATTTCTTTTTATTATAAATTCTTGTTCATCGATTGTTTTAAAAATTTAGGTAAGAGCCATCCGTCCAATGGTCAAAGCAGAGTTAAATTTTTATAAATTGCGCTATATAAATGCAAATTAATCGGTTGATCGATTGATAGTTTTAGAGAAAAATAATTTTTGGGCACGTTTCTACGGTTTAAACATTAATAATTTGGAAAATTTTGATTATTTAAGCAATTTTAGTTTGAAAAAATTTCAATTTCAGATTGTTTAACACTGCTGTGCCATCTGCAATTGATCGTGAGTGGATTTATAACAACATGCACGTTTACATTGATGATGCTAGAGTCGCAGAGTATTAAATTTCAACACCAGGCCACCTACCACGCAATCATTTCAACAGCTGAAGTGCTTGGAAAATTAGTATTTGCTTCCTTTTGTGGTCTCATCGTTGATACCTGTGGCTATTCATTCGCTTTTGTAATTTTTGCATTGTTAAATGCTCTGGCGATGCCGGTCTTATGTCGTACCAGGATTAATCGTGCCGTTAAAGACGAATGATGTTTTTAAAATGAAGTTTTGTGTTAATTTTGTTGTCGCAACGCGAAAGAAAAAGCACTTACTTTAATCCTTAAATACTTTCAAATATAAACGGTGAATCAAAGATGAAAACTTGAATAAGTCTTAATGAAGTGCTGAAACTTTGAAAGAACATTTCTATGGATAAAAGTCTAATGACGCGAAAAAACAAACAATAAAAGCATAAATAATGTAAAATAATTCTAATTAAATCAAATAAATTTTCAAAAATGAATAAATTCCCAAAAATGTAATAAAATTTCAATCATTGAGTTGGCAGAGGAGAGCTGCACCCTTGCAAATCCAATAATCCTTCGTTTGCCTCGTGTCCAGCAGTACACTGATCACGAAGTTCGTTGAGTGACCTTTCGAAATGTTTTATTTAGGATTTCATCAGGTTTACAAATCCATAATTTACATTTTTAGCATCATTAATTCGTCGTAGTCAAGTCAAAAAAGTCTTTTCCAGAGTTTCACGAGCAATGTTTGGCTACTGTCCCGTGTCAGTCCAGGTGCACTCTGCTTACGTGCTAAAAAATTTCGACCGTTGTGCTTGTATGATAGCTGAAGCTCTCATCGCAAGAGAGCCACCAGCCACAGTGTGTATGATGGTTAATGACGCTGTTTTGTACATCTCTTTACAGTTTTCTACGTAACAAAACGTTTCATCACTTCACCAGATCTTATTGTTTTAAGAAGATGAGCCTCTTTAATTTTCAATAATAACGTTTATGAAATTTGAAATTATGTTTGAAAATTTTGGTGGTTGGTCGGGGCTAGTAGGTACCTGTGGTAGATAGGACGCCGGCACGTAGGGGCGTTTTGTAGAGGGGGGCGTTGTACAAGTTTGCGGGCTGTTCCAGTCCATCATTGGCTGCATCAAGATGAGCGGCATGCTGTTGTTCATCACACCAGGTAGGCAGTCATTCATGCATTGTTGTGAGTCATCCCATCTGCAAGTGCGTTTGTGTGTGTGTGTGTGCGCGCGCCCGCTCGCCATTCATCTATTCATTAATCCACTGAATCATTCATTCATTTACTCGATCAGTCATTCATCTTTACGTTCATTCATTCATTCGCTCATACTTCGTCAGCCACGCCCCCACGTCTGCAAAAAAAGTGTGATGGGTACATTCCCATGTTTGTTCGCCACACATTCATTTATTGTTCCATTCAGTCATTCATCTATTAATTCACTCATTCATTCATCTATTAATTCACTCATTCATTTATCACCTGAAACCATCAGAAAAGAGTCCACTGATGATGACGCCATCATTAAAAGAAACTTCATTTATTAGATCATCGACCACTGCAGCTTCGTTCTCGGCGTTCGACAGCGTCTCAAACGTGAGAGCTCCGAAGCGTTTCTTTATCGCATTGAATCTGTCGTAATTTAAATTATAAATAAAAAACAATCGTAATTATTATGATAATATTTATTAGTATTGTTATTGAGATGGCGTGATGATTAAGATGCCTGTGAGACTGCTTGCTGCCTTTGAAGGCAAAGAGATTCCTGCCGCCTATCACTCCTATGTGTACTGTACACATACACGCACACCTACACACACACAGAGAAAGACGTCTACACACACAGACAAACAAACACACACAGACACGTACCTGGAATCATCAAACGCAACTTTACTTCCATCATAGACGTCGTAATATTCTTCTGAGAGGACGAAATACCTGAAGGTTAGATGATCAACTGGCAGGGAATACTTCCTCGAATGACGTTGTAGCACTCCAGTTAAGAAACCTGCCGGGATAGACATACTCATCATGGTCATCTTATATAACTGTTACCATTATGTAGTAGCCTAATGGTTAAGGCGCCTGGCACTGCTGTTGCAGTTACTGGGCTCGAACGCGAGGATATCCCAGCCTGAAATGTCTGTGCGTGTGTGATGCGGCCATGATTCAAGTGTATTTGCCGTCAATGCTTTTAATAAAATTTAAAAAAATTGTTTAAAAAATCATCGCCATCATCATTACTAACGTAATCACTACCACCACTACCATCGTCCTCGTCATTATTATTATTATATGTTATTATTGTTATTATTAAGGCTATTTATAGTATTTCAGGTAAAACCTTGGGGAAAGTAGAAACCGGAAATCCAATAAAGAAGAGGTTCCCCGCGAGCCAACCAATCAGAGATGAACCTGCACCTGTGGACCAAATCTTTGAACCAGGACGACAAGCTCTTTGTTGAGTTGTAGGCATTGGTAGACCAATTTTTTGGAAGCTGTGATGGATGGATGAATGAACGAATGAATGAATAAATGAGTTCACGGATGGATAGATATATGTATGAATTAATATGTAGAAAGCCATATGAACAAATAAGGAAACGCAGACAAACGGACAGATAGACAGACAGACTTTATTATAAATGAATGAGTGATACATCATCTCCAGGTCCTCGTCCATTAGAACTGTGCCCATTATGGCCTTTTGTAACTGTGCCAGTGAGGCCTAGAACAAGCATCAACATCGTTATCATCATCGTCATCATCATCGTTATCATCATCATCACCGTTACCCCATCGTCATCATAACCAACCCCAATGACATCCAGCAGCTTGTTGTACCTCTCGACTTCCTGCAACAGGACTGTCGTCAGCGAGTTCGTGCGGCCCTTATCATCCAACTTTTCAAATTTATTTTTTTACTACTATCATAAAATAAGAAATTTCCAAGATTTGTATATGGTAAAAGTGAGCAAACAACTGACCTGCATCAGCTCGTGCTTGGCATCGCTGGCGTTCATACGGGGCGGTAAGATGTCCAAGTACTCCTGGGCCATCGTCAGAACTGTCTGATCGGTCAGCTGTGCGCTTGCAGTCGAACCAGAGCGCGGCTGCAAACTTAAAACCGTTGCCATGAGGGATGATGTTTCTTGCTCCTGTTTGTGTGTGTGTGAGTGCGTGTGAGTGTGTGTTTGCTTGTGTGTGGGCTGGTAATTGTGTGTGCGTGTGTGTGTGTGTTGTGCGTCTGCTCTATGCTAAAATTGTTATTTTAAAACCTCATTCAACAAATTACTATTAATTGATCAATGATAGAATCGGTCCCACGATTGACCAATAGATTATTCATTCGCTCGTTCATTCATTCATTCACTCGTTCATTCATTCATTCATTCATTCACTCGTTCATTCATTCACTCGTTCATTCATTCATTCAATCGTTCATTCATTCATTCATCAGCCAACCAACCTGGAAGACGATATTAGCATTATCATGCATGCCAAATATCTCTGGCGGATCGATGCTGGGCAACGACTCAACGTGAGCCAGAAATTCCGATAGGCCGCCCTGACTTGGCGCGTAATATATACCTGCGCGTGTGTGCGCGCGTGTGTGTGTGTGTGTGTGTGCGTGATTAACCGTGATGGTGATGAATAAATCGATAACGATCTTAATTTCAATCGTGACGACGCCGATGATGACGACGATGATGATGAAAAAGATGATGACCTGATTCAGAATACTTGTAGCCATCGGCAATTACGTCGGCGTTGAAAAATTTTTTAAGAATGGTCCTCAGGCACCTCTGATCCCATTGGTCGGTTACTCTACCTCCGTATATTATCTAATCGTTCATTGGTTTGTTTGAAATATTATCTGATCGTCCATTGGTCTGTTTTAAACGTTTACTGATCATTCGTTAGTTAGTTTGATATTTTATCTGATCTTTTATTGACTAACTTGAAACATAGCTTTAATTTTAACATGAATACTAATAACGAGAAAGAAGAGGAAGAAAAAGATGACGATGATGATGATGATAATGATGACGAGAGAAGATGGAAAGATGGAAAGGAAGTAGAGAGAGAGAGATAACCTCGGCGGTCAGGTAGATGAGAGCGTCCCATGGAATGGAGTTGAGGCAGAACATCTGCATGTTCAGCAGGGCACACTCCCTGTCCGACTCGTTGAAGTCGTACTGCCATGTTTGGTAGTTAAGCGTGCGACTGATGAGCAAATGAATGAATGAATGAATGAATGAATGAATGGATGGACGGATGGGTGAAGGAACGGATAGATAAAGGAATGAAAAAACGGACGAATGAATGAATGAACGAATGAATTAATGATTTAACAAATGAATGATTTAACGAATGAATGAATAAATGAATGAATGAATAAATGAATGAATGAATGAATGAATAAATAAATGAATGAATGAATGAATGAACGAATGAATGAATAACTTTAATATTCCATCCCAGCGGACCAAATTTCCCTCTTTCCAGCAGGACTGAATGGAAGAAGCAGATCCCAAACACCATCTTCTTCCACGTCGATCCAAGGGCTAATTTTAAAAAAATTATTAAAAAATAAAATTTGGCTACATCATCATCGTCACATCGCCATCATTGTCGTCATCATCATAGCTCACCATGTTCGTCAAAAAAATCTTCCCCCATATCAACGAGCGCTTTCCTCAAATTCGATTTAATCCCTTTGGGTGGTTCGTTCGTGACCTTGACACTGTTTTGCAAGATGGCCACCGGAAATGACGTAGTAGGCATGGAGCTGAGAAACAGCCGGAAGTTGTCGTTGACGTCAGAAGGTTTGTTGATCATGTTTTTGACAGTTTCCTCCAGTTCCGGCATCCAGGAAGCCGCTAGGTGGCAGTTCTGCCGGTTGTTTGTTGTTGATGTCATCATTGTTGTTATTATTGTTATCGTTATGAAATTACTAACAACAATAATAATAATAACAACAACAACCAACCTGAAGAAACACCCAATCACCATATTTCATTGATGACGTCAGTAACCTCTTCGCCACTGGACCCTGACCTTGACCCAGCGAGATTGCCTGCATTCTGATTGGTCCGTGATTATTGTCCCCGTTATTATTACACGTACACAATGAAAATACACACACAGAGAACACACACAGAAAAAAACAGATGGAAGAGAGAGAGAGAAAGAGAGAGAGAGAGAAAGAAACCAACAAACGAACAAACCCATCACAAACATTCCTTTCCCTAACAAATCTCAAAAAAGCTGATTCAGAACAATCAGAACGGAGGATAAAGAGAGAGAGAGAAAAAAAAGAGAAAGAGAGAGAGGAGAGAAAGACATACGTTACACTCGCACACACAAACAAACAAAGACAGGCAGGCAAACAAAAAAAAACCAACCTATCCTGAAATTCTCTCTCCTTGACAAATCTCAAAAAAGCCGACATGGGGTCTGAACCAGGACTGAGAATGAATATGAGAGGCGTTATGTTGCTCAAGTCGTTGTACAGGGCTGGTAGATCTGTCATAGGCGACTCCACGAACGCCTGGCCCAAGTTCTGCTTCACGAACTCCATGCACACCAACACGAGCTGCGGTGAGAGTTAACGTGATGATTGTCTTGGTCGAGATGGAGGTAGTGGTGGCGACGATGATGTGATGATTGCTATCGTAATGACGACCGCGATGATCAATGATGGTGATGATGACATCTTTAAATTTTCGGCGTTCGTTCACATTGATTCAAAGATTGTCTTTAACTTCTACAACATATTTAATGAGCTTCACTCTCATCAAATTTGAAATGAAATTGAAAATCACAAATTAAAAAAATTATACAAAAAAAACCAAGCTTAACCTCTTCGGGTCTGAATAACTTGAGAATGAGAAGTTTCTGGAAAGAAGTGAATCCGTCCGGGAACTGAGCCTCCATAGAAACTTCACTTCCAGATTGAACCGGCGTCATTTCATCGTCTGCCGCTAGCAGTTTGCTGGCTAGTTTCGTCTGTTGAAAAGTAAAATTTGTGAGTTGGAGTTGGAGTGAATTATTTTCAATATATATATTAATATATATATATATCAATATCTACAATCTCATCACCTTATTAGTAAAAATCATTTCATGTCAGATAAGTTTAGACTTATTACAAGCAAAATGAACATAACTGAGACAACAAATTTGCAACAAATGACATAAAATCAACATAGTAATAACAACAAACCGTGTAAGCTCCGAGCCTCAAACTTATCGGTGGGTTTCTAAGGTGCTCGAGAAGCTGTTCGAAAACAGGTAACACGGTGCTCATGTCGCAAAGACCCTTCCACGTGGCGTCGCCCAACTTGGGCACGAGCCTCGGCTTGTTGGGCAGTTTGTAGTTCAGAGGGCCCGCACCCCTTAAAAAATAAGTCCATTCCTCGTTGCTGATCTCGCCTGCGTTTCGCATTATCTCAATGCACAGCATGAAGGAGAAGATTAATTTATCCTTCTCAAATAATCCCCTGCCGATCATTTTGTTCGAATCATAACATTAAGATTATGATATTATTTATATTATTGTTGTTGTTGCCGTTATTATTGTTGTACATTATAACTGCATGTTACAATTGGTTACGTAGCTTTATTGTGATTTACATTGAAGTACCGCACGGAAAATCAGCTGCGACTTTGAAGAACGACAAAATGAGGCACAATGATAGGAATTATAACCTTTAATAAGCCATCAAACAGTAGAACCATGCCGTCACACACAGAGCGCACACACACACACACACACACACACAAGCACCACACACACACACCACACACACACACACACGTACCTGGAAACATTCCTATAGACATCGAGTAAAGTTCCTCTTAGTAGGATGCTCAACCTCACGTCCAGATCCTTACTCTTAGCACTCGTTAACAGCGTGTTACAGAACAGATTTTTAAAATATTTTAAAGAGAACTGGTACATGTTATCAACTTCAGCCATGTTGGCCACTACGAAGTACATTATCGAGCCTCTGGTGGCCACCACTCTGTACTTCTCGCGACTCAGTGATATTTTTTCTTCAGTAGCTTCGGCGTCCGTCAGTCGCTCGCTTATCACACCCGAAGTTACCTGTTTTGTTTGTTTGTGTGTGTGTGCGTGTGTTTGTGTGTGCGTGCGTGTATGTGTGTGTTTGTGTGCCCGTGTGTGTTAAATGAACAAGAAATGAATTGATGTTATGTGACAAACCAGCAAGATAAAAAAAAACCAACACAAATATGGCTGAAATAAAACAAATTAGTAAAAACACAAACTTGAACAACCAATCAACCGACCGACCAACCGATCAATCAACCAACCAACCAACCAACCATCAACAAACTAACTTTAGAATCATTGAGTGTGTTAATGAGATCTTCGTTATCTAGGATATTCCCTCCCGATTCGAACAGCAACTTCAAAATTTTGTCTTCGATGGACTTCAGCTGGTTCCTATCCGTGTTAATCTTCACGATCAGTTGATTTCTTTGATCTTCTAAATCCAACCTTTCTAGGCCTACAACATCTCTGCAACGTATTTCGTTTAAAACGTTTGTCGAATAATGTGAATCAACATTCGGTTATTCGGCCAAATTCACTATTCGGTACATTTCTATGCATGCATGTGTATGTTGGATGGTACTGTGCATGCATGCATGTGTGGGTGATGGCACTGTGCATGCATACATGTGTGTAGCGATAAAAAAAATTTGAACGGAAATAAAAAAATGAATTAGAACAAATTATGTAATTATTAAATTCGAACTAGAGAAAAAATGAAAAACGTAAATTAAAATTTAAAAATTTTTTTATATAATATAAAAAACTTAATTTTTTAAACTCTGACCCTAGCAACTGATCTTCGAGGCCAGAAAAGGTGACGGTGAAGTTGATGATGGTGACCTTGATGCAGACCTCTGGCATGTAGTGGGGGTTCGGCAGTTTTGTCGTTATGTACAACCGGAAGTTCTTATCGTACTCCACGTCCGTGTCACCCAAGTGCATCACCAACCTGCCACCCTGGTGTCGGGGTTGTTTTGTTGTCTGTCTGTGTGTGTGTCTGTCTGTGTGTGTGTGTCTGTCTGTGTGTGTGTGTGTCTGTGTGTGTGTGTCTGTGTGTGTGTGTCTGTGTGTTTCGTATTAACCTGCACATTTTGTACAGTAATGTTAGCGCTTCTAAAGTTTATACACGGAAAGCGCTATATAAATCACGAAGCACAACACATCACAACACGGCGAAAACCACTTTGAAACAAATGAACTACAATGTGCAAACAAATAAATGGAAACGAAACCGGAACTAACGATGACGGCCGTCTGCCTGAGTAATATGGGGTCCAGAGCCGGGTCAATGTGCTCGCCGACATCTTCCATGAGGACCGGCAGACCAAGTCGAATGGCCGTCTCTAGAGTCCTTAGGAAATTGACTTCATTAGACTTTATTGTTTTCAAGCTGTTTGTGCTCTCTTTATTGCGTATCCAACGATTCGCCTGGCGGGTTTGTGTGTGGACTTCATGATGCTGCTGCTGCTGCTATGTATATGCGTTTACTGGCGTCCCCACATCACCAACATCATCAGCATTACATTTCAATTGAGAATTAAATAAAAAAAACTTGTCCATCGGGCGATTGAAAGGTGATCCTAACTAACTGACTGACTGACTAACTAACTAACTAACTAACTAACTGACTGACTAACTAACTAGCTAGCTAACCAGCTAACTAACTAACGACTAGACAACCTGCTCCTGCGGGTCGATCATCAGCGGCCAGCGCTTTCCACGCGTCACTAGAACTGCATTCTCTATCGAGACCTGCCAACAACACCATGAATAATAAAAAGTAATAAATAATAATTATAATATAAAAAAGTAATAAATAATAATTATAATATAAAAAAGTAATAAATAATAATTATAATATTAATTATGTTATCTATAATTTACCTTATCTCTAGGTAGGCCGTGGGTGTTCCACTGCCTGACTTCGAAAGGGTCTGCCAGCACTGACACCAGCGTCATATTCTCCGTGATGGGGATGTTCAACTCTACGCATCTAATTGGTTGATTGATTGGCTAGTTGATTGGTTGATTGATTAGTTGGTTGATTGATTAGTTGGCTGATTGATTAGTTGGCTGATTGATTGAGTGGTTGATTGACTGGTAGATATTGGCTGGTTGGCTGGTTAGTTGACGAAACCACAAAACTACGAAATGAAAAAACAAAGAGCTGATAAATTATTATGACCTGTCTGTCCATCTTTTCATGAGCGCTGTCCTGTATTCGCTAGTGAACGCTCCGAAGTAGGCGATGCAGGCAGCTGATAAGAAAACATCGCCAACCACATTGCTTATCTGACCGTTGTACGTCTAATGTTAATCGGTTTATCGGTTGGTTGGTTGGTTGGTTGGTTGACGAATGAATGAATGAATGAATGAATGAATGAATGAATGAATGAATGAATGAATGAATAAATAATGAATGAATGAATGATGAATGAATGAATGAACGATCACCTCGACGGATTCATCCCATCTAGTTTTCTCACTAGCCAAGGCTGTGGTCAACTTTCCCGCTCTCCTCAACCTCGCCTGTGTCAGTGCGATATTTTTTGTGAGCGCCAACTTCTTGGCGACACTATCGTCGTACATTTTCTGCAGCCTCGTTATATCTTCTTCCACTTTCAGTAGCTTTTCTTGCTTCTCTTTCAAGTTCCTCAAGACGATGTCCAACTCTTGCTGTGCTTCGGCCAGGCTGTGTTTATTTCAATCATTCTATTTTTCCCTGGTCTATCTTAAGTACATTTCAAAAGTAATAAACACGCAGTGCATGATGTGAACGCACGTGAACCAACACATCACACGCATTGCACGCGACGAGCAATAATTTTTTTGCATTCAAACTCGGTCACTGCAGCTGTTGTCCAGACATCTTAGCAGCCCTTAGAACATCTCGTCTCCAAATTTTGTCATTTTATCAAAAATTAGTTTATATTTTTATTTAATTTGTATGAATAATTATTAAATAAAATAATTTTGAACCGCTTTCATGCGGAAAATTATCTGATATTATTATCATTCAATTGTCTAGATTTCTATATAGAAACTGTTGACATGTGACGCCATCCTAGCGTAAAGAGTTAATTATGAAATAAATAAAATTATAGCATCGTCATGATGGAATAAATGGAGGAAATAAATACATAGAACCCAGCTAACATTTTTCTCTTTGGCTCAACAGTTCTGAAAACGTGTGCATATAAATCAATTGCACGAACCCACATACATAAAGATCGAGAAGCCTGTATGTGTTTGTGTGTGTGTGTGTGTGTGTGTGTGTGTGTGTGTGTGTGCATTTTGCTGTGTGTGTGTGTGTGTAATAAAAAAACAAATAACCAGCCAACCCTAGAAACTTTCTCAACGGCTTCAGGAGTGAACTTGGGGTTATCAATGTACTTCTTCAACTTCTTGATGAGGCTGTCAGGTATCCTGTCCTTATCATACTCGTACAACCTCTTCAAGAAGTTGGCATCACCGAGCAACACTTTGGCCCACGACCAATCTGGCCTAAGTTGATGTTGTTGTCAGTAGTTGTCAATGAAAGGGTTGGTGGGAGAAAAGTAAAAAAAAAGAGATAGAAAGAGAGGAGAATCCGATTTTATAATCCTTTGCTCCTGATTTAATAAAAAGTCGCTTGCAAATAATTTCTAACTTGCTTTGGTTACCAGTGAACTTTTTCAACTTTTTAATTTAAAGAAAGTTAAAAGCAATCAACTGACTTAACATTGAGCAGCAGACAGACTGCTTCCATGACGGTCTGCACGAGTTCTGGCGGCACTGTGTAGACGCGAATTTCTGAGATGTCTGCCTTGTCCAGTGCATCCAGTGCCTTACGTGTTTCGTATGTCGCTCGTTTTAAAATTCACTTTGAAATATACAACTAGAAAAATATTGAAAGGACGAAAAAGTAACATAAAATGCAACAATAACGGCCATAAAATAAAAGAAGGAGAAACTTTTATAGCGTTATCAAGAGCCGGAAGTGCTTTATTTAAATCTTTTTGTGCGTCATCGGCAATGGCCTGGGTCTCCCGGGCTTTCATTTCCGCCAACGATTCTTCTTCTTTTACGATTCTTTTGACCTTTGCAGGTGGTGGTGATGACGATGATGATGTTTGTGGCGAGGATGGTGGCCACAACTAGATAGATAAACGAGGGACAAAAAAAAACCACACAAAAATATCAGACAACAAAAACTCATGAAAAAAAAACGTCATCATCTTCGTCACCTCGTCAGCATCGACTTGTTCCAGCGCCAACTTCTCCATCAACTTCTCCGTATTTTCTGACATTTTTTTAAGCTCAGGCTCGAGGGCGATTAGATCGACCTTCATCTTGTCAACCAGTTCATTCGTCTCCAGCAACTTCGACAGTCCGTTCTTCACTCTCTCCCGTGCGCCCACCAACTGCCTACATCATTCGTGTCGTCGTCGTTAAATATTATTATTTCTACCAGTTAAATAATACTAATTAATAATTACTATTATTTTTATTAAAAGAGTAAGATGAGAACAACGACAACAACAACCACAGCAACAACAACAGCAACCACAGCAACAACAACAGCAACCACAGCAACCACAACATAAACCACAACAGCAACAACCACAATAACCACAACAACAACCACAACAGCAACCACAACAACAACCACGACAGCAGGGACATACAGCAGACACAAAAATGTAAGAAAAGCGGCCGAACAAACTTCTTCTTATCAGCGAGCATGGCGACATAGAGGTTGATGAGTTCCAAGTAGCTGGTCGGTGTCGTGTAGTACCTGCGTCTCAGCTCCTCGTAGAACTTCTCAGCTGATTCGGAGGCACTCGTGTGAATCTCGACGCACATCCTCGCTATGTTGCTCTGTAGATCGTGCGTGAGGTTGTTGTCGTCGTCGTTGTTGTTGTTGTCGTTGTTGTTGTTGTGGTGGTTGTTGTGGTGGTGATGATGTGATAATGGTGATGTGATGATAATGATTGGAAAACCCCAACCAAACTTTTGAGAAATCAGCCACAAACCCAACCAGAAAATTAAAATAAAAGAAAAGTTTCACTAGAATTGCCGGAACTGCTCATGTATCAGGACTCAACATTAATAGAAGTTAACAGAAATGTTTGGCAGAATAATGAAATTAACGCCTCGTTATAAAATCAGCGTTATAAAAGTTTTCGACAAACCTTCAAATCTTCATCAATGAGTTCCACGCCCTCGAAAGCCTGATTGGATACACTGAGCAGCGCCTCTTTCGGCCACTGGACAAACCAGTCGATGGTGCAGCAGTTGACCAGAGATGGAAACATGCGACATCTCGTTCGGAATGAACTGCCCACTGGACTCATACATAGAACTATGTGCAGGTTGTTTCTGTGTGCGTGCGTGTGTGTGTGTGTGTGTATGTATGTGTGTGTCTAGGTCAGTGTGTGGTGTGCAAACAATACCATCCAACCAACCTGACTCTATTGATGAAAAACTGAAAAATGGCATCTCTATTATTTTCCTGAATGCCAGTCTCTTTGGCCGCTTGCCTGCAAGCGTTGATATTTTTTTCAAAGTCCTCCACCTCGAACAAGTTCGGAACC